AGGGATTATTTGCAACGGGGGCCGCCTTCGTGGGGTAAGACCGACAGTACGGTGGAGCAAGATTTTACGGCCTCCACAAAATGCGCGCCAATATCCCGTCGACGAGCTCGCTGCCCCGCTATACGTACTCTCTAACGCGCGCCAGGCGCACGTTGTTGCCCCACCCGAGACAAGACGGGCTCCACCCGAGACAGAAAAAACGCGTTGCAAATAATCCCTATTGAGTCTGTCCATGTGGCCGTCTGGTCTTCTACACCTGAACCGTGCTACTGATAACGTCTAATTTAACCGATGAGCGGACCAACATTCCGCTCTCATCGAGCGGCCGCGTGTCGTTACGCGCGAGTTGGTGGTCATTCTTGCGGGGAACGTGCATTGCTGGAGGAAGTAGTTGAAGAACGTGTCGGGCTATCTATAATACCACTGGAAAACCCCTAAAGCGAAGCTCTAGGTTCCTAAGAAGCCGTCCTACCGCTAAGTTTGTGCGTTTCACATACCCTCCTTGAGACACGCTGATCGTTTCCGGTGGGACATGCGTTGCTCTGCCTAATCCAGTGTCCATGTCCATCATGGCCCGTGAGCATCTTTGATCAAGTACTCTATTCTGTAGGAGGAACAGTAGTAGGTAATTTTCTAGCTCGTCTGTGGCGCACAATCCTGATATGGTCAGCATACAGCACAACCTTGTAAATGGCGGGACATATGCACACTGAGCACCGCCAGAAGCGACAGGACATGGCCCGTTAATAGAATGGCATACCCCGTGAGTGGCTAGGTACTTCTCCTTCTGTGAGCGAAGTGCTATGGTGGTATTATGTGTTATTAGTTGAGAATTCCGCCTGTCTGGGAGTGTAGTCGCTCTATCGAAGCTCCGGTACACCATCGCACAAGGGCGATATTTTTACGAGCTCAAGTGCCTAATCTTGTCCGAGGTTGGCATATAGGGCCATACGTCGTCAAGGAGATATGGGCTAGAGTGCAAGATGGGAGGCTCGGTCGCATCTGCCGCCACCGAGGAAGTGAACCAGATTTTGAGTTGGAGACGTGAAGAACAGCTCGACAAGACGAGGGGCGGCGAACTTGAAGTCGAGTGTTTGGCAAGGCGGCAAGAGTCGAAAACGCGAGGCGGCCAACCTCGGGGGAATATGTGGTGATTCGTACGAGCCATTCTGCAACATATCGCACCGAGATTTGATTCAAGCTCGGCGCTAGCTTGAACTTCTACCACCATTGTCCCAAACATTCGGCCTCGCAGCACCACCTGAGGTCCCGCCGGCGTCGGATATCAGGCGAAGATTAAAGTGGCGGAGCTTGCAACGGAATCAAATCCACGCCCCGATAACATGTATCATCAAGCTCCCCTAGTAGATATTTTCTGGCGCAAACCGCAGCATATCGTGAAGACCTCAATCCCGTTTGGTGGTGTTTGACGATGCAGTTCGGACGATACCGTACTCGAATCGTGTTGTGCACGCACACACCATGCATGGTTTCACGTGGTGTATCAGGCTTCGCTTTGTTGACGGCGGGGTGCTGTCATGTGACAAGCCCACATTTCTACACTATATTTACCCCTACTGAACAGCCTTCCCTCACAGCACACCTATACTGAAAGATGCTTTCCCGCTATCAATTCCCGAGTATTCCGATGTTCCTGTCCATGTGAGTAGCAACTCCACGCTAAATATGCATAGACCGCGCGACTCACAGCAGTGTCAGCCCCACAGTCGACTCCCCATGCTCCCACTAAGCTTTACGCGTCCATGTCTCACCGGTCTACTTCTAGTACCCTTCGTCCTCAGCGATACGCAGGAGACTCTACTTGTTGTCGATGACTCGGATTCATTGCTGATCAAGTACAGAGGCCCATGGCAGAGCAGCCCCTCGAGTCTGTTCACCGATCCAGAACAGCTCAACTACCTTGGCACGCTGACATACTCAAACCTGTCCGGCGCCGTCGCAAACTTCATGTTCTCAGGTACTGTCCAGATCCTCTGTCGGGCGTCCGAGCTTTGACGCTGAACGTGTCTGCATTATTAGGGACCAGCGTATCGGTCTACGGCGCTCTGTTCCCCGTCGGGACGTTCAACCGCACCTCGCTGTACTCCATTGACGGCCAGAACACGACGTTGTATGCTCCCCCAAGAACCATCTCCAGCGAGCAGCACCGCGTCCTGTTCTACAATTCTGGCACTCTTCCTTTTGGGCAGCACACCCTCACGATCGAGAACGTCGGTGTAGAGTACTGGTTTGATTTCATCAAGGCGGACGGCGTAGATCCTACGATCGGAGGCCCGAACGGTAGCTACCTATGTTTTGAGGGCTTCAAAGGTGTTTCTGACTGCATTTCCGTCAGCGACGGCGACGTCGCGGGACGCGTCCGAAACGCAGACCGCGACCAGGACGCAGAGCGGCCAAGTGTCGCTCTCTACTCAAGGCGCCCCATCCACTAGTGTACCTTCCGCTCCAAGTTCGCCTTCCAATTCCGGTGCTTCTCCTACTCCCGGTACTTCGGACAAGTCCTTGAGCCTTTCTCCAGGCGTCATTGCCGGAGTTGGGATCACAGCGGCTGTTGTCGAAGCGCTGCTGATCCTAGGAGCGCTGTGGGTGTGTCGCCGCCGCAAGCGCAATACGGTAGAGAGCAATGTTACGCCATTCGGTATGTTTGCGAAATCCTTACCATGCGTCCCGCGGGCTCATCTGCCGTTAGACCCAAATTTCGCTGGTGCTATGCACGCCCTTCCGGTGGCCGGGCTCCCCCAGTTGACGAACACATCGCAGCAGTCCGATGCGCGGTCGCCATATCATCTTGCATCGAGCAGTATCAACGACCGCGATGGGAGCACGGCGTGGTATGAACCTACTTCCTCTCGCTCATACCGCGATACATTCGATACGTCTCGAGCCATGTTTTCTCCAGTGGGGGCGGGTGCTTTTGGCCGCGCGGGGACGTCTCCCCTAGGCCTCGCATCTACTCCTGCTCACTCGACGACACACTTGCCCTCCCACCCTTTTAGCAAGCTCCCCATGGACGGTGACCCCGTTCCTGCGCCACCAGCTATGATACCTGGAGAGGTGTTTGGCGTACTGGACGTCAGGCGAGAGCCCCGACGGTCGCGGGACGGCGGGACCCGCATTGATGGAGGACCGCCAGGGCGGCAGATGGCGATGTCGGAGATCGAGAACCAAAGTATAGTGCACACACTTCCTCCATCTTACGACGTCTATCCTTCGTGACCAACGGTGGCTCACAATCATGCACAATGAGTAGGGTTATAGGGTCGAGACGTCTCGGAGCGGTTACATGCGCACAAGTATGACGACTCGGCCACTACCTATATGTGGGGTTTTTCTTTACAAAAATACACGAAGTCCACGATTTTGTCTGCACGCGTTTCATGCCACTACATAGAATTCAGAATTCCGTATGATATGATGGGGCGGACGTTGTTGAAGCCGTCTCATACGCGTACGCCTCGAACCGCCTCTGCGCCTCTTCTGCCGGCATGTCCGGCGGACCACCTGCGAGCCGCACTCCGCCGTCCGCAGACTTCCTCGGCTGGTACGCGCCGGACACCTCAACATTTTCCGCGTCTCCGTAACCTCTTCGCAGCCCGCTCGACTCTCCTACACCAGGCGCCGGGATAGCGTTCCGACGTTCCGAGGACGCTGAGGCATAGCGTCTAGAGGCCCGCGTCGCATTTCCTGCTCGCTCCGGGTGGTGCCTTTGCATTCGCCGACCTGATCGCACAAACGCGGGTGGTGGAGAGGCTATGACTACCGCGGAGACGTTTGGAGTCGAAGGGATAGGGGGCGAAGTAGGCAGGGAAGGGACGTCCGGGATGGAGCGATGTCGTCGGTAAGACGGCGGGAGCGTCGACATCGTTGTCATGTCGGTTCCGTATCCATCCTCGCCGCCGGAGGATATTAGGCTGTCTATGCCGGTGCTGGCCAGAGACGTACGCCGTTGTTTCAGCGTCCTTGCTGGGTGCTGAAGGTGTTTTGGTTGTGCTGTCCATGACATACGATCGGCGTGATCATAACTTGTGGATGCATCTGCTGTCGAGGTCTCCCCTGCGCGATGAAGCATCCGCGGAGAGGGATGGTTCGATCGAAGGTGTTCATCCGTGTGTGCGGGTATGCTCTTTGCGGCAAGCAGAGTCGGCAGGGCCGCAAACGGGTCGCTCTCATCCCTCTCTGCATACGCAACCTCCGGGACTTGTGCGGTAGCGCGTTCCTCGTGGGACGACGAGGGAAACGAGCCGTCGCTCTGGGGATCACGCGACGTCTTCGTTCTTCTCAGCAGAGCTGTGGGTAGGAATAAGCACGATATCGCAGCTCAACTATACAGCACGTACCAGCCAGTCCCTTTACTGACACGCGCCGGAAACCGCATTGGCGTGCAATCCACTTGAAGAGGCCTACGGCAGCTAGCACGAGGGCTATGACGACAAGGACCACTACGCCAGCTCCATAGCCTATATCTTTCTCGAGCTCTTTCTTATCCGCTCTAGCTTGTATGTTGAAAGCGAGTATTTCAGAACTCGATCTCTGCGCAGATTAGCCGGAATACAAACATTACAGCAGACTTCCGTAGACTTACCAGTATTCCTGCCATGCCAGGTAGATTGTAATGGTTCCTGTATCTAACGCGGCACGGCGAAGACACCAGACGGATTTTCGGGATATGGAATAGCTCGGTATCCGGCCGTAGCTACCGACTTTGCTGAGATGGATGGGAGGAGGTCTCGAGTGCTCCGCCGTTGACGTATCTGGTTCATGGTCTTCATGCTCTCTTTGCATCGTCAGTCACGGCGTCGCGCGGGGAGTGCGTACTACGGTACGACGGTTGTCAGGCTGTCAGTGATGCCCCGTCCCGCCGCTGTTTTCCAACGTCAAGAGATATGATGCCGGAGCTCAGCGCTCACAGAACGGGCATTTGTTTGGATCTGTACTTCTTTCGAACCTTCAGTCACATCGAGGTTGCCGCAAACCTGCCGACGTACCGGAAGTACGATGCCCTGCTGGGATTTCGATGGTCCCAACTATGGTCCGTTATGATGCTTCTATCAATGATTTCTGGAGTTCATCGATCCGGCGTAATTACACCCGCTCAAGCCATATACGCTGAAGAATTCCAGAGGAAGACAAAGTCCCCTCTCGCGCTGTTCTCACACGTGAATGCGAGATCAGTCACCACTTGGGCACATACGGCTTGTGCTGCTCGTCGGAATGTTCGTTTTCTGGCTGGCGCGCTCTCGTCCCCGTGTTCGATATTCAAATTCCACCCGGTGCTCTGATTTGTCCCTTTGTCTGACGCGGACAATCGCATTAGAGCTCTAGAGGAAATTTCAGAGTATGGCGTACGGTTTATAGAAATACCATTTCATGTGAAGTGTACAACTTCCATTGAGCCCGATCGCGAGAGGCAGGAGATACAGCGAGCAATGTGCAAGATGAGCAGAGAGAAGAGAAGGCAGGCGAAACATGTTCGATAAGCGCGTTCCGTTGAACGCTCGGAGCTAGCCGTTCGGGTTTGGCGGGCACCTGTGCGGATTAGATAGGAGCCCCGGGACCCCCGAGATGCGTGATGTTTGTCAGTACCCGTCATAGTCGTTTCGCTTTACATGGCGCTGTAGGATGTGATGCACATCGAAGAATAACGTGCATCTTACTACGGTAAAGTTCCGCATCAAGCCGGTGACATGTTATCTCAGTCGTGCTGATATCTACTTCTAGAGTGAAACGTGGCTTTAACCGCATGGCTCGACGTCGTTCAATACTCCCTAGAGACAGGAAAGTTGTATTGGTGGTCATACGATGGTGAGTAGCTCGCGAATAAGACTGAATACCGAAGCGCACATCGTATTCATACGGACAGATGAGTGCCGGCGGAACCGACTGTGAGGATATACGCCTCAACGCTCGTTGAAGCGGTGAGTATGGGAACATTCCTGATGATTAGAACCCATGATATAAAGCTGACAGTGTTCGCAGCCAGTGGCTGTCCTGGATTACTTCGTGTCCCGATGTCCTCTTCCCCGCGTCTTGCTTCTCTATTAGCCTTGGCTTTCACTGCGGCTACACAAGCATACATACCTGCACAGCCTGAGAACAGTGGCTCATTCTCAAGAGCAGCCCCGCAAGAGGAGCTTTACTTGGGCATACAGTGGTATCCCCAAATATTTTTGACTGCCCCAATACGGCGTCAAATTCTAGGAAGTGCACACAGGATCAATGACACCGTACCTCTGCTGGTATGTAGACCCGCCTTCTACCGCATTATAAGAAGTTTTAACCTTACCGCTACTCCCGGTCACGATATATGGCTTTAAATCTAGCGGGGCGCCGTCATTCAATTCACGGAGATTGGTCTCGGTGGAGGATCCAGTAAGTCGACTGCATGCTCCTCCTAGGGATGAAGAGAGAGAGATTCACAAACACGACGGATAGCACTGACACCATGGATAGCACTGGTGTCTTGCGACTCCAATGCCACCAGTGCCTCAGAAGATGCCGATATATTCAGTTTGGCATACGAAAGAGGCGCAGTAGCAATGGTAAGCGGACGTACTCTTCCATCATGAGTTATGTCTGTAGTTTGACTGATATCCCTTATAGGTCCTGTACTCTATCACGGCCGACTGCTGTGTACTAAATCCGGGATGGAACGACAGTTCGACGGATCAGGCTACATCCTTAGATGTGTATACAACTCTGTCGCGAGACGTAGCAGGGTGAGTAGACACGACCGTACTCGTGCTCTCCAGATTGCCCACTCACTGTCCTTAGACTGATGCAGTTCCAGTTACACGCCACCACGAACCAGTCATACTCCGTGTTCGATTCCGCACTGCTGAACCTCTCATTCCCATTCGTGAAGGATGCGAGTCTGTATGGTCAACCCGGGGCAGCGATGGGGTATCCCCTCGGAACACTCTGGACAGGCAATGTGAACGCGACATACGAAGGAGGATGGCTAGCAGAATTGATGGGAGAGTCGAAGACCACTCCTCCTGAAATGTAAGGTTTCCGCGAGGTCGGCTTTACGCTGTGATTTCTCACATCTCCCATGACTAGCATCTCCGTGATCGTAGCGGCGAGCGTCCTCAGTTCCTGCGCTTTCATGGCCATAGTATGGACTTTCGCCAAAGGACATCAACTGAAAGTTCGACGAACGCAGCACCGAAAGGCCGGAGCACTGAATCCATCGCATGGGGACACTCCTGAAACGGCTTCAACCAGATATCCCACCCCTCCTGCCTTACCATTTCACTCTCCGCATGATTTCCCTGTTCATGACGCAGCCTCTCCTCCGGCTCCTTCAAACACTAGTGCGGCAATCCACATTCACCAAACCGCCGACAAGCGAAGCGCGGTTACAACTCTTGTAGGAGACACGCTGTCGGGGATCGCGCCGTCCACGACTCCCCCATCCTATCATACCAGTCACACCGCTGCGCCCTCTTACCACACCCGCCGTCTATCCCATCACTTCCAACCCACAAACGCCACGCGGCCCCACGCGCTCCCTGTCTCGGGCCTGGGGTCGCAGCCCGGTGCGTCATCACCCACAGAGCTACAAGTCATCAAAAAGAACAGACGCCTTCGGAAAGGCGCAGCGAAGGCTACCGCCACCGCCATCGACCTCGAGCCGGCCAGGCGTCCGCTGGTTCTCCAGTGCGCTTCTGGATCTTTCGTGGACTCGACGAGGAGAGAAGACAACACAGACGTCGCTCAGGTCCCGGAGTCGGAGTCGGCCGCTGAGATGGATGCTTCCCGGCGGCGCTCTCGTGTCCAATTCGCTCCGCTCGAACATGTTTCCGAGAGTTCTGACGTTAACTTCTGATCCATGGTTGTCTCTTGTATCTCGGGCCTTTTTCCAATGCGTTTGAGCGACTGGTCGAGGTAGCAGCGCGGCATGGGTTTGGTGGAGGTAGAGACGAGCACGGTCGGGGAGCAGGCAGACGATAAGCGCAGGCAGAGCAGCCATGCGCAATTTATAACGCTTCGAATGCGTTCGAACTGGACGATATATTTACTCTATATTCAACGAGCATAATAGATATAAGTTACGTGCAAGCATCGCATAGAAAGATGTGGTCTCTCTGGACGTCCTCAGTAAACTTTCTGCTGCGTTGCAAAGTATATGTAGAAGGTGCTCACATAGATATCGTGTATTTCCATACTAGAGGCGCTCTTTTGTAGCCGCTGAGCTGAATACGGTCCCCCCGTGCCGTACCATCTATACTTCTTCCACAGGCGGGGGTCCAACTTGGCTATCGCGAGACCGCACCATACGACTCGCATAGAATGCCGTCGGTTCGTGTAGGACCGATTCGTCGGGAGAGATGAGCCCGGCTATGGACGACGTCGGACTCGTCGCTCGTGTCTCCATGGTATCGCGGGATATTTTTGTTGCGGCTTTTCGGCGTCGCACATAGTAGACCCATCCGCCCATGCCGATGCAGATGGTGATGAAGAGGAGACATGCGACGGCGACGATGACGTTGATGCTGCGTTGCTGAGGGTCAGAATCGGCTTGTAGCATTTAGAGCATAAGGTGAGCGGACGTACTCTGCTTGAGGTAGGCCTGAACCATCGGAAGATTGCGCATTGTGAGATGGCGAAGAGGTGGCCGAAGGCGTTTTTGATAGAGATAGAGTGGACGAGACGTCGCTCGAAGTGGCGACTGGTTGTCCTCCTGGAGGAGGAACAGAAGGCCCATCCCCTGGGTTACTTTCGGACTGTGGCTCCTTTTCCGGTAACATGAGAGTAAGAGCGACTGCGAGGGGTGTATGAAGGAGGGGTTCACATGCATCCCCGGCGTTGCCTCCTGTAAGATCATAAAGGCTCCGACGCAGTGTTCACAGCCACAGCTACGTACGTAGACAGCCTTCGGGACAAGGCGCATCGTGCGCTCATGGAAGTCGATATACTTTGATATGTCCGCAGGTGCCACGGGAACTGCCCATTTCCCTTGACAGACCGCGGCACCGTCGCGGCTGTGCAGCCACACCACGAAGACAGATGGAAGATGGAAGGAATGCATCTGTACACCGGATACCTGTTCACGCGTGCTCTCACTGATCATGACTACTGCGTGTCGCCAAGCCCAGATCTCGTCGAAGTGTATGAGGTGGTCAGGAGGTAGCAAAGGGGAAGAGGCCCGGGTCGTCGGGCGCATCGCGAAGACGCACTGACTGGGACTGTGGGAACGATCATGTGACCGTGTCTATTCACGTCAATTCTAGCCTTCGCATTTCCTTTTGCTAAGAGAGCGCAAGTACGACCGCAATATTATATGCCGGGTTACCCCGTGGTATGTGGGTATACGTAGATAACATGCATCGTCCCCAGAATAAAAAAGTAGCTATAGGGTATACCGGACATCGTAGCGTTTTAACGTCCTCCTGTTCCGGACCGAAACCAGAAGAGGTAAGGATAGCGGACACTAACGCTCTGCTTCGTGAATGACCTCCGGGACCTCCGTGTTCGTCTGCCTCTCCGTAGTGCGAACGAGTCGGTCTTGAGAGAACGCGGCTCGGTGTGATGGTTCAACGTGGCGATTGCCGCTGGAACCCGCAAGCATCACAGACACAGTCGACGCGAAGCCATCTCCGAGTTCCGACGTAGACCGGGCTTCCCGCATCTCTACACCCGCGGGCGCATCTGCAGCGTTACCCTGAGATGACTCGGGTCCGGGGGCGTTCCGAAGCGAGCTCGCATGGCTCTCCTACGACACCACTGCCACAGGCCGATGGCACATAGGCAGACTACCACAGCTACACCAATGCCCACCTCGATTCTACGACAGCCAGGTGTCAGATCTGAGTTGCATAACATGAGACTCTGGCTCACAAGTTGAGGAAGCCGGGGTTGTAGTTTGATTTGAGTGCCTGGTGGATGGGTGTAGTCTGGCTGGTAGGAGCAGCGGTCGCGATCGTGTTGCCCTGGAAGCCGGACGTGTTACTCGGGGATCCAGTAGTGTTGCTCGGGGACACGGTCGTCGCATTAAATGCCGTGAGTGTCGCGAGCAGGAGGCCATGTGTGGAGACCTTGTGGTTGAGCAGCGCGGCTTGGACCGCCGCGGACGACGCGTTGAGGGCCGCTGGATTGAACGAAGAATCCTGCGAGTCAACACTTGCTTCCGAAAACAGGCTTTCAAGAGACCTCGCGGCGCAGAACGAGAATGTGAGGTATAGGCGACGATAAGAGGGTGATATCAACATACTGTGAAAACGATAGAGACATCATCGTATACACATCGGGTGTGGGAGGAGGCGGGAGTACGCGGTACGGCTGGAGCGCCCACTTTACGCAACGGGCGCTTCATAGGAGAGGGTGGGAACGATCACGTGGGCGTGATTCGCGCCCGACGCGAATATTTGTGTCGCCGCCGAGGCCGAGTTCGAGCACGTCGTTCAAACCTGAGGGTGCATGAGATGTACAGTGTGCGGCCTTGGGATACATAAGGAAAGTAATAAAAACACTACATTAATTAATACGTTACCACTGGCCATCCCTGAGATATCAGGCGAATACACTGTCCTGATAGGACGGAGGAGGAGAGGTCGGACAGACGGGCACCCTCGCGTTGCCTGTTTCTGGCACCAGCCACGCTTGTGTAGCAGCCTGAGGCTGGCTCGATGTACGAGCGTCCCCGCGGTTTGACTCGCTCGCTGAGGCGCCATCCAGCAGTCGCTGGCGCGTCTCGGCAAGTGGCATCTCGTCCTCGACGTCGCTTTCTCCGTCGTCACGGGGTGGGACGCTCAGCGCGGCGCCGTGAGCCCGTGGGGGAGCGCGGGTTGGGAAAACCGCTGGGCCCGTAAGGTAAATGCGGCCACTTCCAGGGGCGTGAGGACGAGGTGCCGATGGATGGTGATGGTGATAGGGTGGCGGAAACAGCGTCAACTCGGGGGCGTCCCAGAAGGTGTCTTCCTCTGCCACACCAGCGGTCGAGGGCGTGACGGAGGCGATGTAGGTGTACTCATCTCCGGGAGACACGAGGTGCTCGTAGGACTCTGCGGCGCGGCGCGACCATGGCCATGCCCAGGCACTTCGACGAGAGGCGGTGCTGGCGCGTGAAAGCTGAGATGGCAGGATGGGCACAAAACCCCTGTCAGATTGCGGCGTTGCGGGCTCTCCGGGAATGCGGAGGGTCAAGTAGGGCGTCTGGTGCGGACTGCCGTACACCGGGCTGGGTAGTGGGGAGCTGGAGGCTCTGGACGAGTTGGTGGGGGAAGGCGCGTCGCCGTTGATTGAATCCAGTGTCAGCGCGTCTTGAGGGGGGTCTGACCACGCCCATGCGTCCCCAAGCAATGAATCTACGAAGTCAATCAGCGCTGCCACCAAACCGTATCAGACTTAATGGCGTACCGCTATCGTCGTTATCATCCGTGTCCCCCTGCTTTCGGCGCCTCCTACGGACGAATGACAAGAGCGCGCCGAGGATGACTGCAGTCGCGATTGCAGCGACCAGCACTGCAGCCACTCCGAGAGCTATTTGCAGGCCGTCTTGGACGTCGACTTCAACTTTCTCGGTACCCGGGCCGACTTCATATCAAGTCAGCGCATATTCGGTAAGATGGGTATCTGGAGTTCGTACCTGAAGGATACTGTCGCGTACGCGAGCTCCCATGATCTCCATGTGTGTTGCTCGGAGAAGGCCTGGTCCTCCCAGGTGGGTAGCGAGCGATAGCGGATTGCATGGAGCACGAGTATGACAGGAGGAAGTAGAGCAGGTCCAGGAGTCGACAGCTGGCTTTTAGGACACACCGGAATTATGTCGCCTCGGCTCCCGGCGTGGCGACGGCGAGAACTGCGAACAGTCATGACAGCGCCCGCGCTTGGTGACTATCGGCATGAGCGGTGTCGTCGCGGGGGCCATTGACTGGGGAGTTTGGGCCGACACAGGAAGCGGCGTCCCGGATACGGTTTGCATCTACTGCGTTAGAAGGCGCGGTCGAGACGCAAGCGCAGAGGTTGCGTGGAGAATGTTGCCAGTCCGTGCTGGCATGGCAGCGGCGTCGAAGGAGTCGAGTGAGAAGAGAGGTGCAAACGTGAGTGTGATATCGGGCCGAGAGATCTGATACGTCCGCGCGACGGAATGCGGGCGCCAGCTAAGTTAGGCGTAGCGGCAGCGCCCGGATGCATCCGAGCGCCTTGTACTCAACTCTAGGTCCGCCCGGGAGGCGCTCCTGGAGTACCTGTGTTGGTATGCTCCCAACAGGTGCCGTCACGGTCAATAACATCGCCCACCATCTCGTTCTGTAGGTCATCTGGCCGGTTTCAACCTCGGGCCCTGCGTGTGCGGTGATTTATCCATATCGCGCGCGATGGCGACCACCGCTTTCGCCTCACAGCATGTTGGCAAACTAGACGAGCTCTTTCAGGGACTGCGGAGCAGAAGTGCTGACACACAAACGCAGTCTGCCATCGAGCTGCAGCGCTATGTACGCAATCACCGTGTATCGAACTCCAGTGCTCACACTCCGTAGATCTCCAACGCCGTTCCGGAGCTTTCGGCAGACGCCGTGTCAAAGCTATGGGAAGAGATCCTCAAGAAGGTTTCCGGCCTCGTCCACAGCCAAACAGCTACGGAGAAGCTGGGAGGCGTACTGGCAATCGGTGTGCTCTTTTCTCAAGCTTCACGAAACTGTCTAACCCGTCTTAAGATCACCTCCTCAGGGTGGAGGGAGAGATTGACTCCAAATCCAACCTCTTCCGACTGTACAACTACGTCAAGACCCTGCTCCCAGACCCGGATATCGACGTCATGCTGGCGGCGTCCAAGACTCTCGGACAGGTCTCCGAGATAGGCGGAACAATATTCGGTGACTACTTTATGGACACCGAGGTGCAAGCAGCGGTCGAGTTGCTACAGGCCGACAAGCAGGAGCATGGGAGATATGCCGGCGTGCTCATCCTGAAGGAACTCGCGCGCAACTGCCCCGCGTACTTCCACGCCCATGTCGGACTTGTCCTGAAGAGGATTCTCGTTCCGTTACGGGACTCTCGGGTGATAGTCCGCGAGAGCACCGCAGAACTCCTAGGTGCTTGTCTAGAAATTGCAGCCCCGCGCGAACGCCAGACCAGAAGCTCCTTCTCGCTAAAGATCCTTCAGGACGCACAGATGGGGTTGAAGTTGGCGCAGCATGAGATCATTCACGGCTCGCTGTTGACCTACCGAGAGCTTTTTTTGCATGGTGGCATGGTATGTGCTCCCCCTATTCGTTGTTCAACAACCCAGGCTTACATCTGAGTTGGAATGCAGTTCATGAAGAAGCATTTTCTGGACGCTGCAGAGCAAATCTTCTCGTTCAAGACACACAAAGATGTACTCGTGCGGAAGACGGTTACCACTCTCATTCCCACATTGGCTGTTTACGACACCGCGTCGTTCTCCGAACACCTGCTGCACAAAGGCATCGCTCACCTCCTTACGCAGCTCGAGAAACCTGCAGAACGCTCAGTTGCGTTCATTGCCATCGGACATGTAGCAACCGCGGTGGGCAGCGATATGAAGCCGTTCCTAGAAACCATCATGACCCACGTCAAGCAGGGTCTCTCAATGAAGGGGTACGCAAACCACTCGCAGGGCGCTCAGTAATCGAGTACTAACTAGGATCATAGGAAGAAGAACGCGCCGCCAGAAGAGCCGATGTTCCAATGCGTCGGCATGCTTGCTGCGGCAGTCGGTCCTAGTCTTACCAAGCTGTTGCACGATCAACTCGTTCATATGTTTTCCTATGGGCTGAGCGAGTCCCTTCGCCAGGCGTTGGTGGCTATCGCGACACACGTACCCCCGTTATTGAAGATCATTCAAGGTGCGTAAGATATGTCATATTTTTTGAGTTCTCGATAGCGTATGACGAGTCTGAATTAGAACGACTCTTGGATAAGTTGTCGTACATACTCAGCGGACAGCCATACAGGCCACTTGGTGCACCGCCTTCTCTGCTATGTGGCGACTTCAACACCGACAAGAACGACGGTCTCCCTACCGAGATCGTGAACCTGCAGAAGACGCCGGAGACGCTCACCCTTGCTCTGACGACCCTCCACACGTTCGACTTCAGCGGTAGGTTCCAGCGCAAGAGGTTATACTTCTTGCTGAAGTTGTTTATAGGCCATGTCCTGAACGAGTTTGTGCACGATTGTGCACTGCCATACCTGGACTCGGACTTCCCCGACGTTCGCCGCGCTGCTGCAATGACGTGCTGTCGTCTGTTCGTCCGCGACCCGATATGCTATCAAGCCAGCAACCGTTCGATCCAGATCATAAGCGACGCCATTAACAAGCTCCTCAGTGTCGCTATCGCAGATCCAGGTATGCACTTTCTGTGACAATCAGCAGCTCTAGATCTAAGGCTCCTCTGTAGATGCGGAGATCAGACATACCGTGCTATCGTCCTTGCACCAGCGCTTTGACAAGCATCTCGCCCAGGCGGAGAACGTTCGCTCACTGTTCGTCGCTGTAAATGACGAGGTCTTCGAGAATCGCGTTGCGGCGGCCGCGTTGATTGGGCGACTGGCCATGCACAACCCTGCCTACGTCATGCCTTCGTTGCGAAAGACTCTCATCCAGCTATTGACTGGGTTAGAGTACTCCTCCGTCACGTACGTACGGGGCTCGTATGATGTTGCATGTAGACTAACGCTCATTCTGCAGGCGCGACCGCGAGGAGTGCACGCGTCTACTGGCGGTGCTCATCAACGCTACTCAGCGCCTAATCAGGCCGTACTCGATGTCTATGCTCCGCGTACTGCTCCCGAAGGCGAACGACCCCAACCCGATCGTCTCCGCCAATATCCTCATGTGTCTCGGAGAGCTCGCCTGCGTCGGTGGGGAGGATATGATGCCGCATGTGTCGGACCTCATGGAGGTCATCATCGCCAAGCTTGCAGACCCGTCTCTGCAGAAGCGCGATGCCGCGCTGCACACGCTCGGTCAGCTCTGCTCGAGCACAGGATACGTGATCCAACCACTTGTTGAGAACCCACAACTGCTGCAGATCTTGGGCCGGATCCTGCGGTCGGAGTCACGCCAGGCAGTGCGGCGCGAGGTGGTCAAGGTGCTCGGTATCCTCGGTGCACTTGACCCCTACCGCCGCAAGGTGAAGCCGGCCGAAGATGTCGTGATCGAGGTGTCCTTGAGCTTCGTGAACGCTCCATCCCCGAACATCACAGGCGCGTTGACGGCGACGAGCGACTACTACCAGACGGCTGCTATCAACGCGCTGCTGAACGTCCTGCAGGACAAGTCTCTGAACAGCCACCACTACAAAGTTATCGAGGCGATCATGTCCATCTTCAAGACACAGGGCTTGAAGTGCGCGACGTTCCTCCCGCAGGTGTGTCGCAACCCGATTGCGTATTCTTTATGGTCTTGACAGTCTCTCAACCAGATCATTCCTGCGTTCACTACCGTCGTCCGCAATTCTTCCACTCGCACTCAGGTCTACCATCTAGAGCAGCTTGCGATCTTAGTTGGGATCATTGAGCCATACGTGCGGAATCACGCTACAGAAATCTTCAAGCTCGTGCAAGACTTGTGGGACAACGTTCCACTCCAGCGTCCTCTCATGTCACTCGTTGAGGCGCTTGGCCAGGCACTGGACGCCGAGTTCAAGCCGTTCATCCCCATGATCCTCCCGCCTATTCTCAAGGTGTTTGAGTACGACATGAACAACCGCACAAGCAGTTCACAGATCAAGATCTTCGATGCTTTCCTCACGTTCGGCGCGAACATCGAAGAATACCTGCCGCTCGTCATCCCGCTCATCGTGAAGACGTACGAGCGGCAGGACGCGTCGACCGCGCTGCGGAAGAAGGCGATCCATACAATCGAGGGCCTCACGAAGCGGGTGAACCTTTCGGACCGCGCCTCGCGGATCACGCAGTCGCTCGTGCGCGTGCTGAACCAGCCTAACAATGAGCTGAGAATGGCGGCGCTGGACACGCTGTGTGCGCTCATGATGCAGCTTGGGTCGGATTTTTGTATCTTTCACCCCACGATCCGTAAGGTACGTCGGGAAGAGCTGGTTGATCTGCCCTGAATTGATATTTACTGGCAAATTATAGACAATCATTCGACATGGCATCTCCCATCCCCGGTATGAGCGCCTCATTGACAAGCTCTTGAAGGGAGAACGGCTGCCACAAGAAACCTCTTCGTTCGGCCTGTACGTCCCTAACAAATCTATGTGACGTGTCGAAACGCCTAACCCAGTCACTCCAGCGCCAGCGGAATCGGCAAAGCAACGGAACCCCAGGCTCTAGCGGAGGCAACAAAGTTGGCGGTCAACCAGCAACATCTGAAGCAGGCTTGGAACGTCTCGGTGGTCAGCACGAAGGAAGACTGGATAGAGTGGCTTCAGAAGCTGTCCGTCGAGTTCATGCGGGAATCTCCGTCGCACGCGCTGCGGGCATGCATGTCTCTCGTTGATGTGCACACACCTCTTGCGAGGGAGCTGTTCAATGTCGCGTTTTTGTCCTGCTGGGGAGAGCTGTACAATCAGTACCAGGTGCGTTGGTTAGCATCTTCCCTATTCATCACATCTGATCTACTGTCTAACGTCGCTTGCAGGATGATCTGGTAAAGTCTATCGAGTCCGCAATTACCTCAAGTACCGCGCCATCCGCGCTTGTGCATCAGCTGCTGAACTTAGCGGAGTTCATGGAGCGCCAGAATGAGCCACTTCCTATCGAGAACCAGACACTGGGCGAGTGCGCGATGAAATTCCACGCCTATGCGAAGGCACTACACTACAAGGAACTCGAGTTTTTCAGCGGGTCGTCATCCACCATCATCGACTCCCTCATCACTATCAACTCGAATCTACAGCAACACGATGCCGCGTGGGGGACACTGCGCATTTCTCAGGACCACTACGATGTCAGCAAGCACGAAGAGTGGTACGAGCGCCTCGGGCGTTGGCAAGAGGCGCTCGAAACGTACGAGAAGCGGGAGTTGGAGGACCCTGGGGCACCCGATATCGCCATCGGCCGGATGAAGTGCCTCCATGCGCTCGGGGAGTGGGACCACCTTGCGATGCAGGTCAAGGAGACGTGGTCAAACTCGATCCCAGAGCACCGCAAGGAGATCGCACCGATGGCCTTTGCGGCCTCGTGGGCGCTCAACGACTGGGAGTCGACGGAGGACTACATCGCGATGATGAAATCTGACTCAGCCGACCGGCCGTTCTATCGTGCTATTCTGGCGGTACACCAGGATCAGTTCTTTAAAGCAATGACGCAGATTGCAAAGGCCCGCGACTTGCTTGGTCCCGAGCTCACTTCACTGGTTGGTGAAAGTTACGGACGATCATACAAGTAGGTGGAATCAAGCGTATGCCAACGAGGTTGTTGCTGATTCGTGCGTAGCACCATGGTCCGGGCACAGATGCTCTCTGAGCTTGAGGAGGTTGTAAACTACAAGCAGCACATGGATCAGCCAGAACGCCGACGCTCTATGAAGAAGACATGGACGAAGAGGCTACAGGGATGCCAGCCCGACGTCGAGGTCTGGCAGCGCATTCTGCAAGTCCGCGCTTTGGTCCTCTCTCCCAAAGACGATCCGGTCATGTGGATTAAGTTCGCGAACCTTTGCCGCAAGTCCGATCGCATTATCCTGGCCGAGAAGACCATCAACTCGCTCCTTTGGCCAGAAACAGTATGTTTGTGTATGCAGCGCACATGAAAGAGGCTGACTTCTGGGCAGCCTTTCCTTCAGACGCCAAATACCCGTGCTCAGGATTACACCAACGCGCCGCCAATGGTCGTTTACGCCCACATCAAATGCAACTGGGCAAAGGGACGGAAAGAAGAGGCTCTGAACTCTCTCCACGAATTGGCCGCCAAACTCTCCCGAGATATCCAGTCTGACGCCACGATTCGGGCCGCTAGTGATCCCGAAGGACACAGAAGGCTAGAGGAATTCTCCCGTCTCCTTGCCCACTGCTACGTGAAGCTGGGAAAGTGGCAGTTCGCACTTGGAGGGCATTGGGATTCGGTACGTTTCGTCACTGTGCGCAGTGGGACAGCATTTTTTGAGCAGATTCGTGCAGCAGAACACCGTGGACATTCTTCAGTCGTATTCTCGCGCGACACACTACGACCCCGGTTGGTACAAGGCGTGGCACACGTGGGCGATGGCAAATTTCGATGTGGTGGGATTCCTAGAAAGCCAACGGCGCAATAGAGCAGGCGACGCCCCAAGCCAAGACCCTACCACTCACATAATATCGTCGGTCAATGGTACGCTGGTGTACACACTTTTTCTTCCATGTTGGTAACGGGGGTATAGGCTTCTTCCGCGCGATCTCGCTGGGGAAAGTGAACGCGTTGCAAGACACCCTGCGATTATTGACGCTCTGGTTCAAGTATGGCGCTCATGACAACGTCAGTCACGCTATGAGCAGTGGGTTTGCTGATGTCGAAGTCGACACATGGCTAGAGGTCATCCCTCAGGTATATCATGTACTGCATATTCTTTCAGTAGCTACTCATCCCTATCCTAGATCATCGCCCGTATCCAGACGCCGAGCGACAACATCCGGAGGAACATCAATAACCTCCTCATCGACGTCGGAAAGCACCATCCTCAGGCCCTGGTGTATCCCCTCACGGTCGCTGCAAAGTCATCGAGCACTTTGCGGAAGGCGGCTGCTCTCAGCATCATGAACTGCATGCGGGAACATAGTTCAGCAATTGTTGAGCAGGCATGTTTCCCGCCAATCCACAACTGGAATCATACTCATCGTAGCTCGTGTTCGGTCCAGGCGTTTCTGGTCGGTCATGAGCTGACCCGGGTAGCTATCCTCTGGCACGAGTTGTGGCACGAAGGTCTCGAGGAGGCATCACGCCTCTACTTCACTGACCGTAACGTGATGGGCATGATCCACTGCTTGAAGCCGTTGCACGACTTGCTGGAGGCTGTAAGTATCAGCATGGGATCATTTAGATTCTTTAGTCGCTGATTGATAACGCAGGGGCCGAAAACGACGCGCGAGATATCCTTTGCACAGGCGTTCGGGAGAGACCTCAATGCGGCCCGTGAAGCATGTACGCAGTACGCAATCCACATGGAGGAGCGATATATCGAGATCGCTTGGGAGATATATTACGAGGCAAGTCTCCGTGAGAGTGTTTTACAGATGTTCCCTGGTGACACCGACCGTTTCGCAGGTTTTCAAGAAGATCGAGAAGCAGCTGCCTCAGCTTACGATGCTTGACCTGCAATATGTTTCACCCGAGTTGCTCAAAGCGAAGAACCTCGATCTCGCTGTTCCAGGTACCTTGTCGTAAATCAGGTAGTGATCGCTCGCTAACATCGGCCACACAGGCACGTACCAGAGCGGAAAGCCCGTCGTCAAGATCTGCAACTTTTGTCCCAAATTGACCGTCATCTCATCCAAGCAACGCCCTCGGAAGCTATCAATCATAGGCAGCGATGGCAACGAGCACCAGTTCGCATTGAAGGGCCACGAAGACATGCGACAAGACGAGCGTGTCATGCAGCTGTTCGGTTTGGTCAACAGACTGCTGGTGATCGATACAGACTGCTTCAAGCGGCGCCTGCAAATCCACCACCTCCCTGTCATCCCTATCGCCCCCAACGCCGGTCTGCAAGGATGGGTCAAGGACAGCGACACACTCCACGTGCTCATTCGGGATTACCGGAAGTCAAGAAAGGTTCTTCTAGATATCGAGTACCGCTTAATGCTACAGGTCGGTGTTGTGCGGCAGTGCGCGGAACCATAGTTAACGAAGTCCTTTTGCAGATGGCGCCGGACTACGAGAACTTGACGTTTCTCCAGAAAGTCGAAGTGTTCGAGTACGCGCTCGAAAACACGACCGGGCAGGATCTATACCGCATTCTGTGGCTCAAGAGTGTCAACTCAGAGCACTGGCTTGAGCGGCGCGCGACGTACACGCGCTCGCTCGCCGTGAGCAGCATGGTCGGGCACATCCTCGGGCTCGGCGACCGGCACCCGTCGAACATTATGCTCGAGCAGCACACGGCCAAGGTCGTACACATTGACTTCGGCGACTGCTTCGAGGTCGCCATGCACCGCGAGAGGTTTCCCGAGAAGATCCCGTTCCGGTTGACGAGGATGCTCACGCACGCGATGGAAGTGAGCGGGATCGAGGGCAGCTTCAGGATAACGTGCGAGATCAGCATGAAGGTGCTTCGGGACAACAAGGAGTCGCTCATGGCCGTGCTGGAGGCTTTTGTGTATGACCCCTTGATCAACTGGCGGTTGATGCAGCCGGACGTGGAGGCGCGGCGTGACGAAGGTTAGCGCGTCCCTCGTTATCAGTGCGACTGTACATGTCCTGACTTTAGTCTGGCAAAGACGCCGTTGCACATCCCACGGCACCGATCCGCAGGCTAGAGGTCGACGAGAACAGCATCTTGAACGGTACGCAACATTTTGACCAGGGCAGTGACCAGCATACTGATATCGCAACTCAGAAGCGCAAGAAGTGCAAAACGAACGTGCTGTAGTCGTGTATAGACGCGTACAGGATAAGCTCAACGGTACGCTTTAATCTGCGTACTGCATTGCTTCTACAACTAACGTCGATGTTACAAGGCCGTGATTTCGATCCCGACGAAGTGTTAACGGTCCCCGCGCAGGTGGAAAAGCTGATCTTGCAGGCTACGTCGATAGAGAACTTGAGCCAGTGCTTCTCCGGATGGTAAGTTTCTGGCCGAATATTCGTTGGGAACTGTACTGACTTATGGCAACACAGGTGCGCGTTCTGGTGAACTCTCTGAGGGCTGTTGTCGGCTGCATTGTATAATCTCGATATGTTGGCTGCCAGTGTATATCTCCGGTCGGTTTCTTTACCTCAGTTGTTCATATTGTACAGATATCGTAGTATCCTAATCTTAGCTAGAAGAGTCTACACGGCGGTCATATCGAGAACGGCGGGAGCGTGTACGGGAGTCTCACAAACGAAAGCCCGGCGGGGTGGGAGCATGGGGCGTCTGCCAGGCAAGTCCGACGAGCCCGAGTCGGGTCATACCGTGGAACATCGAGCAGTGCGGCTCAAGCCCTCCTCTGGCGTGTCCCACAGCTCGTTGAGCAAGGTCTTTCCAATGCGTACCGTGATACTCTACAAGATATACCTCGCTTGCTAAGTCTATACAGCCCCGGACCCTCCGTATTTTGACTCCGACTACGACCCCTGCCGCTGACATTAATCCCTGGATTCACTTGAACCAGCGTCCGGCAGTCCGTATGCCGGCGGAAGCTCCAGACCGTCGAGCCTGATACCCCCATCAACGGACTTTCGAGGAAGACCAGTCCCTCTACGTGTTTCCCGTCGCGGCCGGCGCGAATCGGTGAGTGATCCTTCAAGCATACTACTGCTGGTAGCCCGTGAGACAGAGGCGCGGCCTCGCTGTTGCCCGATATAGGCTGAGGGCGGGGGCGGAGTCTCTCCAGGAAGAGGCGGAAGAGGTCGCGGGAGGGGGAGGGGGTGGTCCAGCAGGTTGGGGACCGATGGCCGGTATGTGCGATATGATGGGGGGACGGTCGAGACGGTGGCTGCGTCGGAGAGATACCCGGAGTCGTCCATGCCGCCCAATGTCCCGGACATGCTCGCGGCGACTGACGTTCGTGCGCTCGGAGCTTCGAAGACGCTAGGGGTGGCAGCCCGCTCGCTCTGTGTCTCCTCCGCGTCGTGCGACGAGGCGAAGGGATCGTCGGAGTAGGGATCTCCTTCCGCCGAAAGGGTCGCCGAGTATGGGGCTGGACTTTCCGAAGGGCCTTCAAGTTCTGACCTTGCACATCCTGAGGAAGAGGTCGATGACGGAGAGAGACGCGGTAGGGGGTTGGCCGGAGAAACGCTCCTTGGAATCGAGCACGTCGCAATGCCATGCGCTTCGCGCATGTCGGCCGAGGAGCCCTCCCACGAAGGCGCTGCGTCTCCTGGCAATGAGGGCGCGGTTGCATGGCACGCAAGCTCCCCGGTCCTCCCTTCAACACCGCTCATACACGGTTTTGGCTCGGTATCCACGCAGTCACTCCCTGCTGCCTTCGCAAAGCGGCGCCTCGCAGCCGCTGCACGCAACACGATAAGCCGTGCTCTCTGGTTCTCAGGATAGGAGTACTCACTGAATAGCCAGCTCAAAGACAAACCCCGCCGCCGCATGCAGATGTGCGCGACGAGTATAACCATCACCCCTGCGCACACAAGCGCAAGCCCGGTCGCCCAAAGCGCAGTTCCCGTTTCTGTTCCAGCATCTCGTCTGGCGAGGTAGCCACGCCCGTTGCCCTGGTGGAGTTGAAAAGAGCGTGATACGTTGGAGGTACGAAGTAAATGAATGTCTGTCCAAGCTTCCATTAATGTCTGCGACAGAATAAGTCACTCAGAGACTTACGTGAGGCACCCGGGGACCGATGAATGGGCTCGGCAGCGATTACGGGCATGACGTCGACAGGAGAACGCTAAGCGGCGGCGTCGACAAGACGTCAGAAAATGGGAGAGGCAGGAGAGTATCCTATCAACATGTACATATGCTCTACCGCATACCGCAGGACCGTTGTCATTGCCAGGGGCGGCGCGGGCCCGAGTGATGTCGTCCCATGGTCGCCAGCGGGCGTTGAAGGGTGCCTAAGAAGGGCCGCAGCGGCACATGGGGGCACAGATCGTAGCGAGGTGCCCGCAGAGCGGTAATAATATAAGGAGCGAGGCGGCATAGGGTTCGACGAGCGTCCTGGGTTCTCTGATTGGTCCGCGAGCCAATCGCATTGCTAGCTCGACTGATGAGCCATCGATATCTGTCCGTTCATTGATTTGTAGATGTCCGAAGGTACATACACAGGCTGTGAGGAGATGTTGGGATGCGGGGATGTCGACGTATCGAGTAGTTAGTAGCCTTGGTCTAATATAATTCTAGGCGGGAGACAAAGTACGAGAGCCATGGAAACTGAGGACTATGCCAGTTCCCGAGACCTTGTATCCTCGTTTTTGACCGCGAGCTCCAGGTCGTTCTTGAGGATACGACCCGGGTGGTAGAGGCTGAAAAAGACCGTTGCAAGCAGCACCATCGTGCCGTCAAACGCAACTACCCAAGAGTGGCTTGAGCTGATGATCGTGCCGCATGAGGCATAAAGACTGGGAAGCTTACCGAACAAAGGCTGCATTCTGGAAATGCGCCCTTCCAACCCCTCTGAAAGCTCGATGGTTCGGTACACAGCACTGAATGGACGTATACGCGACAATGGTTAGATGGAAATGGATGGAGGTGATTTTTGCCATACCGTATGTATAGCAGTGCGGTCTAGAGACATATCGCAATGACGAGGGGGTTCACGGTGTACACGATGTCCCTGCCAGACGACTCATAGATGGTTGCGGAGTCGCTCACGGAGTCGTTCGAAGCCGTGTTGCCTTCAAACGGCTGATCCCTGATCCATCTTGCGACATACTCCGCGACGAGGGCGCAAAATACGGACAGGGAGGCTGGAGGAATTGTGCACGTCAGGTTTGGACGCATCTTCACGAAGTGAGAACCCATACCCAACTGAAATGTTACACCAGCGAGGATGATATGGCCTCCCTATAGTCTCGTGAGTTTGCTTGGTGAGGCCAGATGCAAGGTAACGAAGACAGTACCAGCCGTATGACCTCTGGGCCCCGGTTGCTGGCGGCAATACCGCCGCCGGCGGACTGGACAAGAAGCGCCACGACGTCCTTCACAGAGTAAGCAGTTAAGACAGAAGCGTATGCCAACAATTGTAGCGTACCGAAGTGAAGAAAATCCTCGCATCTGAAAGTTATCAGCTGGTACTCGCACTTGTGTAGCCTTCTAGGAGAACTCACAGAGACGTGGGCTGATGCGACTGTACTGCTGCCCGAGATGTGCACACATCTTGCCGAATGTGATAAACAGCGCTCCGATTAGAAACGTAGGTGAGATCACTAAGACGACCGTCCTAAAGCAACGGTGAGCAGAGCCTCTTCTGAATTTTTGCAAGGACGTACTGAACCATGTAAGGAGTGAGCTTTAAAGGGCTGTGGTATGACCAGACTCGGCATGCCCATCCGAGCACCTCGCCGAAGCATGCGGGAACAACGGTCGGAAACAACCACCACTTGCGGTACATCCCCGCTTGCATGAGGTGTAGGACTGCCGGCTCATGAGATGAAGCGAACTGGGTACCTGCAATGGTGACACTCACCGGCTGTGATAAGGAACAGTGTCGCGAACAACACGCTCGTCCACTCGGTGGGTAAGTAGCCGTAGTACGGGGATATGAGGGGTCCGTTGAGAGTGAGACTGCCGTATGTAACTGAAGAGAGCACGGGTCAGGCTTCAGTACGCATAAAGCAGTCGCCTCTTACCATTTGCTGGAGTTTGCGTAGGCTGGGATTCGAAGTCAGAGCGAAGGGATCGTTGGGGTAAGGAGTGCATGCCTGTAAAGAGCGGTCGTGAAGCTCTAGGCGCAATCATTTTCCTTATATCGAGAGGGTGAGCGCCTCAGAACGTATTATGTCTAGGATGTGTTATACCGTGTGTAGTATCAAGACTCACGCCGCGCAGCCACGGCTCGCATGCAATGCAGAAAACATTGGCGGGGCCACATTCGCACGGATGCCTCGAGTGGGGACCCACCTAGCCACAACATGCTTAATGGGGGTTATTCCACCGTGCAATTTCTCCAAATGGACGTACGGTGGTCTTGAAGACGCTCACTACTGGTGAGAAGTACAGTAGAAGTGTGGTACTCCGACGAATGCGGGCCTTGCGTATAGCGAAATGCTAGCGCGAGCACTGCGCACGCCATAGCGATTGACATTCGCGACTGCGACGCAGTTGGGTGTCTCATGGTACTAAGAGTCGCTCTGCATACAGTCTAGACGTCAGCTGGACCGTATGAAGGATTCTTGACTGCACTCACGCGCGGGATAGGTTAATGTTTAGATCCGAGCCATGATGAGTGTCTCCCGTTTTCTCCCTCGTCGGAGCATGCGATATAGTGCATGTTCACCTGTACATATTTACCTACTTATAGATTTGAATCAGCACACAGGAGAGAACGCACTAATTCCCGCGCGCAGCTGAGCAGTTGACTCACCGTGGAACGATCGCTCGATGCCGTTGAGGTTGACGGTTCGCAGCAATGTGCTGCGTGCGTAGCAATACGAGGCGTTGAGTATGAGATTTTCCATAGATTTCAGCGGCGCGGGTGTTTTCTGGGGACTGCGGGGTCCGTCAGTGGCCTTCCCCTGGCAGCTCGATGGGAAGAACCAGGAGACGCTCTGGATAAGCGCCAACGCCAGCAGGGAAGCGCGATCACGTGGTCGCGTTACGTACGTATCGGTACCGCTTGCCGCGACTGCCGCGAAGGCCGTCGCACTCGCAGGGCGGCTCAAGAAGCTTTCACGAGGGGCATTGGCCCGTATTCCGGTCCTGAATAGGCCAGGAATATGCTCGGAACTGGTCTCCTATTCAGGACCGGAGACAGGCTAGGAACCCAGACAATGGCGAACAAAGCTCCACTCTAATGTGATTTGTTATCCGATAAGTAAATTTACTAACCGGGATTCCGGACCTGAACCAGTCTGGTAACAGGAGACCAGTTCAGGCGCTGTTCCTAGCCTATTCATGACCGGAATTTGGGCCAATGCCCCTCGTGTTTCACACTTTTGTGCGAGCCGATCTCCCAACGGCATCCGGATTCGCCTACTTTTTCAGACTCCACAAGCTCTGTCACGAGGGGCATTGGCCCAAATTCCGGTCCTGAATAGGCTAGGAACAGCGCATGAACTGGTCTCCTGTTACCAGACTGGTTCAGGTCCGGAATCCCGGTTAGTAAATCTACTTATCGGATAACAAATCACATTAGAGTGGCGCTTTGTTGGCCATTGTCTGGGTTCCTAGCCTGCACGACGGGCAAACGCCCGTGGCTCTGGTCCGGAACAGGCTAGGAATATGACCTGAATTGGTCTCCTGGTTCAGGACCGGAGACAGGCTTGGAACTCGGACTACAGATAACAAAGCGTCATCTAAAGCCATTTGTTATCGGGTAAGTACCCTTACTAAGCGGGATTCAGGACCTGAACTAGCCTGGTAGCCAGGCTTTTGACAGGAGACCAATTCAGGTGCTTTCCCAAGGCTGTTCTGGACCGGAACCCGGGCCAATTGCGCGTCGTGCTGTCTCCGGTCCTGAATAGGAGACCAGTTCCGAGCATATTCCTGGCCTATTCAGGACCGGAATACGGGCCAATGCCCCTCGTGTGTACCCGAGTCTATCTCCCGCCACCCCATATCGAGGCCAACGAATAGGATCTTCGTTGGGAAGCTGGAGGATTGAATGCGACAACAAATGCTGAGTCAACCTATTGGGTATATGCACAGACAAAAATGCCGATCTAGGTACAAGTACAATGTTCAATCATTCAATCGCAGCTCTCCCTTCTCTCCCAGATCACGACGAGGACCTTTGTACACCGGCGGCGGGTCCAGCTCCGACTCTGCAGCGCCGTCTATCACCGTTGAACTTTCCCCACCACTGTCCAAAGGACCACCCTCTAGCCTCACCCCACCGTCGACCGACTTCCGCGGGTGTTGGCGCCCCCCATAGCGCGCTCTTCTCGAAGGCCCTCCGGATCCAGATGGACCATCGTCCACGACCACATCACCGATCGCAGAGGCCTGGTCTACCCCGGCGCCTTCCTGCCGGGCGCTGCTGGGTGGCCGAGGGCCGTGCATGATACTGCGTCTGAGATTCCTCGTCGTGAAGGCTGACGGCGGCGCAGTGATGGTGTCATACGCTGACGTCTGGGCCGGCAGTGGAAGATGGGGGACACGAGGTGTGTTTGCCCGGTTGGTGCGGTACGACGGCGGTAGGGTGGACATCGTCGCGTCTGAGAGGTAGCCGAAGTCGTCTGCCTCGGACCGAGGCGTCGGCGGGGTGCTTTCGGTCAGCGCGAGGGCGTGTCCGCTGGACGCGGTGCTGCCGATGAAAGACGGGGCGCGGGCGCTGGCTGGGATACTCGCCGTCTCGGCTGAGGCGTTTGGTTCGGTGAAAGGGTTGCTGTATACGGACGATGCGGAATCCCAGTGGAGAGACCCGTCTGCGTCACTGAGGGTGAGGCGGGAACGTACAAACGCGGAAGGAGGTGTGCTGATTCCTGCGTTGTCTGGGGTGTGTGCGTCTGAGAATGGATCATCCGAGGACCTGAATAGGTGCGATTGAGAATTACGACGATGCACTGTGATTTCTTCGGCTTGGTCTTCCGGTATGACCTGTCCGCCTTCTACCCTCTCAGCATCCAAGATGGGTGGGGAGATACGTTTTCGTGGGGGAGCGACAACAAATTGGTATGTGTTGAGTTGTCTGAGGACGAGCGAGTCGGTAACTCGGGCTGGACCCAAGTTGATGACTCCCGTAGGCGGAGGCCTCCGTAGCAGACGCGCTATGAGGAGGGTAAACATCAGGTAGCGTGAAGGGCACAATGTGCGCAGACGTACCTAAGAACCCACGGGAATCATGTGCCCCTCCTGCATTCTTCCTACGGGCACCCCGAATAACCAGGTAAAGTAGCGTTGCACCAGCGCACAGCAAAACCAGGCCAGGTACAGCGATGCCGATGGCTGTATCTCCTGTTCCTTCCAGAGTGTCTCGGGACACGAGTGTACGAGTGGGAAGCGTCGCACTTAGGACCCCGTTCTCGATGCTCTGCGCATCTGTGGCAGGTTGTACCTGAGAGCGGTATCTCGAAAGTCAAGAAGTGTACTCGCCTGAGTGTGTGTGCATGGTCTCAGACGCGGAGGCTTGATTATTTGTGGTCACCTCCAGGCGTTCAGTATGGGTAGAGAGAGACGGAGAAGAGACAGTATCGGGTTCCAGACCCGAGTTAAGAAGAGGCCCTCGCCGTACCAGATCTCTGCGTCGCTCCGTGGAGATGTAAGCTTATATGAGAATACCATCTGATGTACGGATGCAAAACCTGAAAACGCTGTGTGATAGACAGCTGTGAGATGGAGGAGACCATGGTCATATTGGACGCTTCGTAATCAAGCATCCATACTGACCGTGTTACTTACTGTTGCGCTACAATCCGTCGTTGCGACGGCGCTACTTTTGACATGACTTCGTGGCGATGCTTTTGAGCGGGGGAGACATATCCATCTATCTTGTTGTAGAGCGGCTATGAATCGGCTGTGCAGGGCATTGTTTACGACAAAGAAGAATGTGCATGTCCGAGTGAGGGGCGTAACTTGATGAAAGCTATCACAGGAGTCATCTCGGGCGGCGTACAATCAGCATCGTAGCGCCAGGTATGCCTTCTACGCGGTTGTGCAATCCGGCCCAAGAAGCCACGGTCCTGGGCAATGTTCGATATACGATTACTTGACTACGGGAATGATCGTCATTGTCTGGAGCTCGCTACTACCAGTTTGAACGTTTCAGAAGTTCTGTTCCGGGTGTCAATGACCTCCAAAAGTACTTCGCTTAGACAAAGGTACTCACTCGGCGTCGAACCAGGAGCCCGGCCATATACCTCTTCATTCTCCCTTCCGAACTCTGGTCATATATCGCAGCTACAGCAATCCAGAGTAACACCGCCTCTACGATGAGTAGGAAAAGTAATGGCGTGCCCCAAGTGTCGGCGATTGAAGACACATCTACATCAGAGGTGTCTGGTGAAAAAGGATGTGTTCGGAAATTCAGTTGTTTGTGGATACCAGGCTTTGCATAGATGGTACACACCTCTGACGGATAAACTATGCACATGCGAGGCGTCTTGGTACATAGATTGGGAGGATGAAGGAATGCGTAGGCTTTGGACGAGCCTTGAGGGCGGTGTTGGACTGGAAATCGTTCTCAGGCGGCGTGATATACATCTCAGAGGCCGGATCTGATTGTTCCCAGCTCCGTTGCAACCACGTATTAACAATAGCCGCTGCGTATCTTTGTCAAACCATATCAGACATCTTATGAAGCGTCACTACATGTGCAGTACATGCGTGAGAACGTGGACTTGAGCATGGTATATGTAGTTAGAAGTGAACACACGCGCAACCCCGGACCGTCCACCCTCTATTTCCGTAGTAAGCCGTCCCAATGAACCGAGTCCCCAATATTGTACGTACCACTCCGCCTCTATTCCTCGTACTCCGGAGGCAATATCTCTTGCTCGAAAGGGCCTGACGACCCACCCGCCAGTCTGACACCACCGTCCTTGGACTGCTTGTGTCTAAACGGTTGTCCGCGCGAGCTCACAGACACTTGAGCATGCCCCGGCGCGTTCTGGTGCTGTGCCACGCGAGGACCATGCATGCGCCGTCGGCTGCGTTTCCTGGTGAACGATGACGGAGGATGTGCGCTGGGCGTCTCGGCGCTTGTGGACGGCGTAGATGAAGGGAGGGGGTGCTTGTCGGCGCGGAAAATGGTCGTTCGACGAGTTCGGTAAGACGGCGGAATAGTAGACATGGTGGTGTCAGAAAGATATCCATCGTCCCCTGCGTCTGTCGCCGTGACGGAGGCTCTGCCAGAGACGGAAGCGCTGCCACTGGGCGCGATGTTCTTGCGGTCATCCCGGTCGAATACATCCGACGACGGACTTTCGTTAGATCCCGGGACTGTAGGATCTCGAGGGGCTGGGCGGCGACGAAGTGCTCCAGGTTCCGTTCTAGAAGTGATGGCAGGACCCCCAGAATGTACTGCAGCGGCTGTTGACGTTGAAGGGCGGGTCGCCGCAATCGAGACAGTGGCCGGCCTCGTCATGGGAGACCCAGGATGTGAGCCAAATCTCGTCCATCCTGGAACAACAGTCCTGTCGGAGTGCAGTCGCGAGCCTGCTCGGTTTCACATCGTCAGACGAAGTCTAAGGCACCCAACGCTGAGTACTCACCGAGTGATATTCTTCTACTCCTTGCAACACCATAAGTCGACCGCACTTCCGGCTTCCACCATCCCTTCCAAAGCCCGACATACGCGATGACGATGGTTATGGCGCCGATAACAGCTAGGACGGCGCCTGATTTCACCCGGGCAGACGCTACATCGTCCACAGGGCTCGAACGGACCTGGAGCGTCTGGATGGTGTTCGATGGTCCTGAACCAGATGCATCGTCGCTCATTAGGATCATGGGCTTTTGTATAAGGCAAGAGTAAGTTCGGGACACGCGCGCTGAAAAGTAACCTTATAACATACTTACACAGCTTTTGATTTCCTTCGAGATGTGGAAAAGACTCGAGTCCCGTACGTTTGGGGGATGTATCGGGACTTGTCTCAGGGGAGAGGAGTAGAGTCGCCCACGTCAGGATGCAACTCCAGCTGTCCAGACAAGGTTTCATGTTTGAACACAATCGTTGATTGATCACGAATGAGAGCCATAAGTAAACACGTTGGACAGCTGTCATAAATGTGGAGAATCTGTATCTCACCTGATGATGTATCTCTTCGCAGATGAGAAAGGCGTCTGTGTGCCCTCGCGGTAGTTTAACCTATTCTGAGAAGAATCAGAGGGATATTCCTGCAGGGGAGGGTGTCACTCACACGCATATACCATTCGACTTCGGCATTACTACCAATCACATCATACGAGGATGCCCGCTGTTTGTCTTTCGTGCAGCGCCTGCAGGTTCGTAGTCTCTACGATCGTAAATGATCCAAGTTCTTCGGTTTCTTCCCAGACGCACCCCGAGTTATATATATAAGCAAAAATCGGCGAGACATCGTAGCTACTGAAACAACCTGTCCAAAGGTCAACAAAGATGCCGCAGGGCGCACGCGCGGCGGCGAACATCCAGAAACTAACTCCGTAGGACCGGGGGCGTTACATGGCTGACCCGATGCCCGGATCGTGATGCGCCGACAACGACGTCTCTGATAGATCGGCGTGCCGCATGAGCTCCGAACTGGCACGGGGGAGGTTCCAGACGTCCACCCAGTCCACAGGTTCCTCGACGTTGTGGTCCAGATACGTGGAGGAGGGGAGCGGAATGCTATCCTGGGACAGCGTGCTGTTCCGGTTGGGTGACTTCGCGTCCCGTGAGGGTATGAGAACCGTCAAAGAGCTCGCGCTCTGACTCATGTTGGGCCCATGCCGATGGTCGTAGTTGGGAGGGAGGGGAAAGTTGTATGTGCCGGACGAGGCGCGAATGTCCAGGGTGGAAGAGGCGGATGCATATTGAGCGTCGGATGAGGTGCTTGCCGTGTCGCTGCTGACTCGGAGCCCGATGATGCTCTCTCCATACGTAGAGTAGTTCTCTCCTATGGTAAGAGTAGCATAATCAGACATCTGTTCTTCTTCATGTGCAAGCACTTACCAGGGGGTGCGGCAGCCTCTCGCTTTCTCCGCCGTAAACGGAAAACGTAGCAAAGCGCCGCGCACAGCCCGACAGCAGCGACTGCGGACAACGATATTGCGGCAATCGCTCTTGGACTGAGAGAACGAGATTGGCCTGGAGTATGGCTTGCGACGGTAGCAGAGGAGGGACTCGGCGGGGAGGCTCCAAGGTCTTGCGTGGTAGTGGGAAAGGTGGATTCCCTTCCTGAACTCGTACCTTCGCTTGCTGTCGAGATGGATGGAAAATCGGAGCTGCTTGAAATCCGGAAAGGGAGAGGTGGAAAGGTATGCGCCGAACTCGATCCAGGCCTGGGCTCCAAGAATGACGACTCGGGGCGGGCTGATATAGCAATGGGCGTGGGATAGCTGGTTGTGAGAAGTGTTTGACTCGACGTAGAGGAAGTAGTGGAGAGTATTGACGAGGTCACCGTGGTCGACGGCACCACAGGATCGGGGCGAAAGGTGAAGCTAGGATCGCCTGACAACTCTTTGGGAGTAAAGGTCGGGCGCGGGGCGATGGAAGCCGTGCGTGTGAAGGTGGGGTTCGCATGCGTGGTAGTCGAGATAATGCTCAAAGAAATACCGTCGCCAGTGATAGTCAACGACATAGGTTGTGTCTGCGTGGAGACGCTAGTATCTCCGTCTGTGTCAGGAGGGGTTTGAGGTGAAGGCTTAGGAGTAGAGCTTTCGCTGGTCGTGGAAAACGGGCGTAGGGTGTCGCTGCTGGATTGTGACGAGGTCGATGAGGTCGATGAGGTCGAAGAGATTGATGGCGAAGGCATCTCTGAGGGTAGATTGGGACTCGGTTCGAGTCGACCACCGGAAGATGTTGTCGTCGCGTTGCTAGTGGCTGACGTGGACGATATGGGGGCCGTACTAGAGGTGACAGTCGACCCGCTGACTCGTGACGAGGACGCCGTAGAGCTGCCTGGTGCTGACGTTGTCATTGAGTCGTTCAGTGAGATCAATTCACGAATTAGCGCAGGGCGCCTGGTGCCTAGAGGAAGTGAACGAAGCCGCACTATGCCTGGAGTAAGCTGAGTCGCTCACGACATGAATAAGATGAATTAGTGACACGTACTAGAGAACTAAGCACTATAAGATAGGTAGGGCGTCGCGGGAGCTATCTTTGTTGCGCACTATGTCGCCTCTTCTACTACGAAGACCTTGTTCAGAACAGTTGCAGGTGAGGGCGCTAGTCTTACCTGCGTGATTATCAAAGTGTAGCGCGTCCCAGTCCAGACTACCGCGTAGACGTGTAGCGCGGGGGAGGGGGAGGAAGGAGAATTGGCGGAGCGCCGTATAAATGCGAGGGAGTGTGGTATCGTGAGGAATGGGAGACGGGCATGGAAGGTAGGCAACTGCCTCCAGCCCCAATCCTTTGACAGTTGCCTGGGCCGCCGGGGAGCGGTTTCGCTGTGACCATCGCCATCGCGAAGCAGGAAGGGAGGGTCTTCGTCGCGTTCATCTGCCAGAACAAACTGTATCATATCAGGGGGGCTCGCGCGTGCCATATCGAGGGGGTGCCTCACTCACCATGCTCGATGTTTCGCGCCGCGATGTGACCCCTTCATGTGCATTAGTGTGAAAGAGACTTTGATAACACTAGCACGCATCGGAGAACGAGACGTAATGGTGATATACCCGACGATATGAACCTCTGTTTGAAGGGAGCTGGCGACTGTAGCACTGCCGCCATGGTGACATGCAGACCTGCGGTGATGTGCTGTCCGCACGGCGCTTTGCGGAGTCGGCAACTCCCGATCTCCCGACTTCCAAGATGCCTCGTCGACTCGAGCGAATGTTGTCCACACAATACACTGAATACAGCGTGGTGGCAGTTCCTAGTACGGCTCCTTCGGGAAATCAACAACTTTACGTTCATGAGCAGGCCCGGTCACTGTCGGGACGATCAAGTGACGACCCTGCCACGCTTCACCAATCAACGTCTCATTGACAGGGAATATGAAGTTGATACATGATATCACTGCCGCCACCGACAGAACTCAGTTAGTACCGCTCCCGAGTGCGTAAGACTGAGGTAAAACACACCTTTCAATCTACCACATCGAGCTTTGTCGATGCATGGAACGCCCGCTAGTATCGACTGTACTCAGGCGGCTGACCCAGAGTGACTTCGCTCCGTCCACCTTCTCGCGCGAGATACGCAGCGTACACTGAATTACGATCGTAATTCTCCATCGCCGTTGCAGCGAGGTAGCCATCTCCGCCCTGCGACCGGCGATACGCCGCACGCCGACCCGACTGCAAGGATACGGGGCGCCGGTCGGGGGTGGGAGGCGGATCGTCCCAGGCGAGACGGAAGGACCGCATGTGCGCGAAGGCAGGCTCGGCATCCGTCGGCGTGAGCGGGCCCGGGCTCAGGAGGGGGAAGGAAGAGAGGGCAGTGGAAGACCCAGGGGACGACGCCGTCTCGCCGCTGTCCGAGTACCTGGAAATAGTGTCGCGCTTCTCTTCCATGCGTTCGGCCACGTCGGGAGACATGCGGTGGCTGTCGGGCGCGGGCGATGCGGCGGCGGCACGAATGCTGGGTTCGGTTACGTTCGATGCGGGGGCGGTTTGTACGTGTTCCGGATCAGGAGTGCCTATCACCGAAAGGTTGTTCTTGTTAGCTCTGATTTTGGCAGACACAAGTAGGATTGCTCACCAGATGCGGCGGCTACGCTCCTCCTTGCAGACCTCCTCCTACAGGCTAGCCAAATGAGAACGGAAATTGCGATAATGCCGACGGAGGCGATGCAAATAGCAGCGATCTCCCCCGTACTCATTCCCCGGGATGATTGCGGGGTAGATGGAGTCGAGACAGTGGTCGGGATTGAAGTGGTAGGGAGTGAAGACGAACTGATAGGGGAAGTGAGGACCGAGAAGGGCGGCGAGTTGGAGAGAACTGACGTTTCGGTGTCCGTGATCGTCTGATTGGGGATTGCGGTTGGTTGTGGAACGTCGGATGATACGGGCGAAGACGAGGGCACTGACGAGGGGTCTCCCGTTGCAGAGCCATCGGATGAGGTCGGTAAGCTCGTATCACTCGACACAGGAGTTGGGGGAGGCGCCGGAGTAATTACTGAGGTGACCGTCGTGCCCGATGTGAATGTCGTTCCGGCAGTGATGGTATTCCCGCTCGTCACGACTACGACGGAAGTGACGACTGTCGGGGAGACGATGACTGTTGTTTTCGTGGCTGTAGGCGCCTTCTGCGTCTTTGTGGTTGTCTTCTCTGGCGACGTGGTTGAGCTCGTGGTTGTCGTCGTCGAGGTACACTCCACCCCAAAGGGAGGGAAGAACCCTACGCCACAGCCCCCACCGAAGGGACCACCGAAGGCGCGGTGGAGCAGTGTAGTAGGACCTCGGGGGAGGTGCATGGCGCAACTGAACCACACGGTGAGTTGGGACAGGCGTATCTCTGGGAAGCTCCCTTGCAGTGGCATACTCACAAGAAGGGCGAGACAACAATCGAGAGGAAGGGAAGCAGCACGGCAAGGGTGTCGTCGTAAGCCTGCGCTATCGTCCACTAAGGACCATCTATCCACTAGTGAAGACCTCTCAAGATCGGAGTGCAGCGAGGCCCGCTAAGAAACGAAACGAAAGGACAGTGAGGCGAAGGATTGTATGTGGGTCGGCAGGGACAGTTCAGGAGCAGCGAGTAGCCGGAAAGCAAGACGGGAGAGACGGAGCGGCCGGCTTTCCTAACGCACATGTGGACGCGAATTCGATGTCGAGACATTCGGGTTCTGGTCAATCATGATTCGCTGTCAAATACGCGGTTAAGCGAGACTGAATTGCAAGGTAGCTCGAGGCACTGACCGTAGCTCACGCAAGTACGCACGCAGTTCGATGGCGGAAATTGTCCCGAGGGTACTTTGATGTGAACCGTGCGATACTTGTGGACCGTGCGGAGGTTGAGAGGGGCAACTGAGCAGTCGATGAGAAGATAAAGGCCCGAGGCTGTGGTCGCACTATGGAGAACGGCTTCGCAGCAGGTATCCCATCAAGGAGACGTTCTTCCTTTGACCACAGCTCCTTCGCCGGGGCATGGCACCGGACATCTTTAGGGCACGTGCATCTTGGTCCTCCTGCTACGCGGACTGGGAGGTGGGTCAGCGGATGCAATGACCGATACGAAGGTTAACAATGCTGCCAGAAGCTCACGGCACCATCAATCTCTCACCTGGATGCAGTGTGATGAAACCCTCGGCTTATGGGAGCTATGAACCAGCCAGTCAACCTTGCGTGGGTATTGAGATTCCCTTGCATAAGTAGCGTATCTGAGCAAAGCAAGAGAGTATATTCAACGACGACGACGTATACGTCGACGATGAAAGTAAGAGGCAAGCCGTACTGGTGTAGACGCTGGCGCCAGCGGTGGGAGGCAATTGATGCCACGAGGCTACGGAACGCTCGTCGGCTTCTCGGCACTTGGCAGGCTCCTCCCAAGCGGACGAGCACTGCGATACGTGTTTTGTCGAAGAGCGACGCCTAATCTACACGTATAAAGCACATAGATAGAGCTATGTACAAGCGAAAGCACAGTCAGTCTACATCACCCGCGAATAAATAACTTCAAGTTAGACATCCTCATCCTCGCACACCAGCCTACTCCCGACTATACTCAGGCGGAGACCCAATCTCCAGAACCTCGCCCCCACTGAACGCATACGCATCGTAAATCGTCCCTCTTGCGTCCTCAACCTCCATCACGCTCCACACGCTCGCCCTCTCCTCGGGGTTCGCGAAGTGCGCAGCCCACGTGCTCCTATCTTCGGGATGCGCGGCAAAGTGCGCAGCCATGAGCGGCGAGAGCTGGACCGGCATCGGGAGCGGACGGAACCCGACCGTCCCCGGCTGCGTGCGCGCGCTCATATACGATCGTGCAGTAGTGGGGCTCTGCGGGGTCTGCGGCCGGCTGTATGGCGCGGGATGCGTGGCGGGGGGCTCTGGGAACAGCGCGGCCGTCTCGGGGCAGAGGGAGTTGATGTACGAGAACGTGCTGGAGGGGCGCGAGGAGATAGCGGGCTCGGGAGCGTCGGGGTGCAGGCTGAATTGGTCTTGCTCGCGGGTTGTGATGTGTGCGGGGAGGGGCGTCGTAGGGCGTTTCGTGCACCCGAGGGAGATCGGACTGGTGGGCGAGCGCAGCTTGAAGGGATCTTCGATTGGCGAGAACGGGTACTCGGTGCTGTACGGCATAGGTTTCTCGTCTATAACATCGCACATGGAAGAGAAGTCAGGATCGGTACCCAGGAACACCATCCGCGCGCTGCCACGTACCGTTTCTCCGCGCCCTCCGTTTTTTGTGCCAGAGGCGGTATCCGACCACGGACAAGATGAGAGCGACGGCGCAGGCAATGGCTACTGCGACTATCGTGCCCGTGCTAGCCCCGCCGCCTTGCGACGCGGCGCTCTCATCCTGCGCGGATTTCGCGCTCGCGAGCGGACTCAACCACACCGTCGTGGTAGCCGCTGTCCCGGATATACTGATGACAGACGTGACGGGGACGACTGAAGTAGATGTCTCAACTGTCGTAGGATCATGGGAGAATGTGGTCTGTGTAGAGGCGATCGGGGTGAACTGGGTATCGTCGGCGGTGATGGGGGCTGCCTGAGTAGTGGAAGGTTCCCAAATGTCGGTAGAGGAAGGAGCAGGACTAGAGGTTGTTGGTACAGTGAAGGTCGCCGACGTGTCTCCAAAATCAGGAGCGGACGCGGTGGCCAGGGGGGTCGCCGTGGACCCAGCACCGATCCCGGAGTTGAGGGTCGGTATTTGGAGGTTGGGTTGGAAGGCCGATGTACTAGTTGACGGCGTGGGGTCCGGAAGAGGGAGGAGTGTAGGAGAGATCGGAGCCAAACCCGAGGTCACGTCCTCAGCAATGCTAAATAACAGATCTCTCCGGGCCCGCTCAATCCGCCCGGGGACCCGTGTGAGACGGCCGTGGGGGCGCATTGCGAATGCAACACAAGCTGTCGTCTGTTTAGTGGAGAAAGATACACAAGGCCAAAGGAGTGTGAGGGATAAAGGAACGAGGGACGGCGCCGTGGCGGGCGGGCGAGAGAAGGAGACGTCGGGGGCGCAGCGGAGAGCGACGGAGAGATTCACGCAGGACGTGCGATCTGGCAGCTTTTGAAGATGGCTAGGAGGCTGGGATGTTCCATCGTCCACGCCGCAGCAACGATCAGCACCAGGACTGGAAGCAGTTCATAGGGGTCAGTTGTACTCGCAGACACACGACATGAATATTACACTGAAAGGGATCTTCTTGATCAGTATGGAATGGGGCCTCGCTTGGTAGTCATATGTGTATTCGACTTTGCAGCTTAGGAATACGGAGTAAGCACAACCGAGTTCGCCTGTACGAGAACAAGGCACGCACTTGTATGACGATCAGACTTGAGACTGTAGGCCGGCGGTGAACATCGCTAACAGCGCAATCTTCGACATCGAGATGTATGCCGAAGCACCGACAATCATAACTGATCAATGCAGATGGCCTTCCCCGAGACGGAGTTTGCGAAGACGGCTGAACGTGGACGCCATGCTCGGCCGTCACCCGTGCCACCACCAGCGTATGAATGACAAGGTGTCCTCGGCGCTGTTCGGAGAAGCAGAGAAGACAGAGGCGAGCGAGCCCGCAGGGGAATCCCGTCTGCGATGTTTTGACGAATGTTTTTATATGAGATTGTCGAGGCGGAGTTATTGTCTCTTATCAACGTCTCCCGTATGTTTGGGGCGAGCACCACGGAGGGCGGAGGTGCGAGGTGATGATAGTGAGAGACTGTCAAAGGACGATGTACAGCTTGACGTCGGGCTTGACTGCAGTGGAAGACGAGGCTGGATGCCGCCACGAGGCTACGCAGCATCTCGGCAATGTCCGAGCGTAGGGCTTGCTTGTGCCAATTTCGCGGTATCAAGTTCCGCACTAGTGTACACAAGTACATCAGGGTACAGCACAAGAACATGCTCGAAAAATGCACGTACGTTGGAGATTTCTCTCGGTGCGTCAGACTGCAGTTGAGCAGAGATCTTAGATGTGAGCACACACGAGATGCGATGCAGCAACCATTGGATAACGGTAATATACACATGCGATTGGACTCTTCCATCCTCCTCTTACAGTTTTTCATTGTGATACTTCAGCATACCCCGACAGCTAGTGCTGCCACCCCGCGCGAACATCCGACGAGATGCTTAGAGCTTGGCGCCAGACTGAGCCTCGACAAGGCGCTTCTCCGCCTCATCGAAGTTGATGACATTCCAGATGGCGTTGAGGTACTGTGATGAGGATATGAGCATCGTTACATGTGTACATGTGGGATGGGCCACTCACGTCGACCTTGACGTTGAGGTACTGCAGGTAGAACGCGTGCTCCCAGATGTCCACGCCGATGATGGGGACGTGGGTCAGGAGAGGGTCCTGGTTGGCGGTGGTAACAACCTCGAGGACCTTGGTCTGGGGGTTGTATCCCTGGGAGCAGAGGAGTATGCCTTGAGCTTTCGCGTAGGAAACAGATAATCAGGGGGTACTCACAAGCCAGCCCCAGCCGGAGCCCTGGATGGACGCAGTCGTCGCGTTGAACTCCTTCTTGAGGTTGTCGAGCGAGCCGAAGGTCTTGGTGATGGCCTCCTTGAGGGGGCCGTCACGGAGAGCACCACCGTTGCCCTTGCCCTCGGAGGACGCGCCCGCGAGGTTCTTCCAGAAGAGGGAGTGGTTGATGTGACCTGCGTCGCAGCCGTAAGTCCAATCGCGTCCTATCGCGCGAGAGAGCGCGTCGGGTACTCACCACCGCCGTTGAACTTGAGCGCGGCCTGGAGGGCGATGCGCTCCTTGGGGGTGGAGGCCTTGGCGTAGGCCTGCTCGGCGGCGTTGAGGGCGTTCACGTAGGTCTGGTGGTGCTTCTTGTGGTGGAGCTCCATGATCTGCTTGGAGATGAAGGGCTCGAGCGCATCGTAGGCGTAGGGGAGGTCGGGGAGAGTGTTGGACATCGTGAGCAGGCTGTGGTGGACGTCGAGGAGGATGTGGGAGATCGGCGACGCGAAGCTCTGCCCGTATTTATCGCCCTGATCATCCTCCCCCGACACCGATAATGATGTAATCCCCTATGTCAGGGTCACGTGCAAACGCTCACGGCCCCCGCCCATTCCCCGGCGCATTCCCGACGTCGCCTTTTCCTTCTTCCTCATCGTCGGCGACGACGAGCACGCCCGTCTCTGCAACATCGTCCTTCCTTCGCGTTCCCTCCCTTTGCGACGGCTGCAACACCGACATGCACGCGCAAACGACTCTAACGGCTATATGCGCGAACTTGGAGTCCGTGTTGGTCATCTGAGCAAAGTGACTACTCACGATTGCGTGTTATCTCGTCTCGCTCCAGCACTTGGAAGTTTCCGAGGGACCAGACTCTCGAGCCACACACGCAACCGCTCGCGCAACCGTCTTACACATCTCCGCTTCGGAGAGCGGCACCATCCTTCTCGCGCTAGCTTAGCTTTGGTCCTTCTTGCCATCGCGTCGCCAACAGGCTGGCTATGCAGACCAGGATCATCCACGAACGCATTCTGTCCGACATCAAGGTGAAGTATATGTTTCGCTGGGTTCGTTGCCCAGCGCTCAGGTCCGGCAATAATTGAAAGCATACTTCACGCCACTCCCACGCAGTTCATCGATGCAAAGCTTCATATTGAACTGTGTTGCCCAGGTGAGCAGTTCTATCTGAATGAAACCCTTTCATATCTCCAAACGTCCCTGACGGTGACGAAAGACTTCGGCGATGCATCAGACAGGGCTTCGTTGTGCACCGTGTCAATGGTCCCCGTCGATCTCCGAGAAAGCACGACAGGCTACCGGACGCGAACGGGGAGTATCGTCGTATGGAGTGGCTCTAGCTCTTCTCTCTGCTTGCTTGAGACATGGCCGGCGCATCGTCTTCACTCACTGGAACTACGTCGGTTCAAGTGGCGACTTCGTTCTCTTAACAAACGCTACCTGCGAGTCCCTTACCTGCTGGGGCAAGGATCTCCAGCATCGTAGGATGTGCTCAAAATGGTCAGCTACGTCATTTCGTACTCTAGCCTTCGCCCAGCGAAGGCAAGATTGAAGAGCCAGGATTCGCGCCAGCAAGCACCCTTCGAGCTCCTATGGCAGCACGAACTGGGCGACATTATCTATTCATCGAGACCGTGGAATATGGTTTGGATCTTCCTAACGCTATGGACAGCGCTGCAACACAAAACGCTTTAGCTGCGGCTGTCTTGTCTACTCGGGTTCACGATTTCGAACCACACCATAATCGGACTACCCTCTGGTCCGCTTTGGCGGTCGTAATATGATCCGTTCGTCAGGTATGTAGCCTACCACGCTCTCGTCAGCAGCGTTAACATGGTCCGATCAGACCAGTATTGAACGTCATCTCTATTTCCATGGACCACGGACCCAGTGTCAAGATACCCGGCATCGCCTGTGGTCTGAGACCTGGCCGGTGACCAACCGGGTGCGCGCAGTATCCAAGGTGTACGCACGACGATCTTTGATGGCTACCAGACTGCTAGCTCGTTCAAAATGTGCCTGCGCCCACTTCTGTCTGTTCAGACCTGTATGCTGCTTGTGAACCCACTTGCGCTGTCCACACTTCAATGTGCGGTGCATGCGTTCACCTCGCCAGAGCTCGGTTCACTGAGGCCCGAAAGCATTCCTCTCATGTCTTGCGGATCACGTCGGTCATGTTAAACTGGTATGGGGGCGGGGCGCCCGGGACGCGACTTATGGCATCCCGCCGTCGGGTCAGGAGTTGGATCGTCGGCAGTCTGCTGGTCTCACGCGTCGCAAGCTATATGTCTTCGGCCCTCACGAAGACCCCATGGTTTCTCTTCTGGTCGCTTCTTGGTCTCTACACTACACCTCTCCCGCCAATGCGCCATGGGCCGCCCCTCATTTCTCAACATGGCACAGGCACGGGGCCTCGCCGTGCTGATGCTTGCCACTCGCGTTCTCGCTGACGTCCAGGACGCGGACGACACAAACGTCGGGATGTTCTACACTGGACTTTGGGTCCCGGACGGCGACCCCAACACATTCGGGAAGCACGACACCTGGACGAACCAGAGCGGGGCGAGCGTGGTGTTCGACTTCATAGGTAAGCCATATTCCGTGATGCCCTGCCCATCCCCCTCCGAATAATCCGAATCCGAATCCGCGCACGCAGGTACGGAAATCAGCGTGTTTGTCACGCGCCGGCCCGTCGGGACGTACCTCTCCAACGCATCCTTCTCTATCGACGGTGGCCCGCCGACGCTGTGGACGACGTCGGATCCCGTCCCCGCCATCTCGTACAAGAACAAAGTGTACACGTCTCCCTCGCTCCCGCCTGCTCAGCATCGGATCACTGTGACGAATCTTGGCGAGATCTTCTGGCTTGACTACATGGAGTACACGATTGCGAGCACGCCTCCAGGCGGAAATCCACCTCCAGGGACGACGACCACATCGACTAGCGACGCGTCAATTGAATCTAGTACCGACATATCAGCACCAAGCGTCAGCGTGGCCTCTGTAGGAACGCCCACTGTAGGAACGCCCGCATCTGCTACCGACGCACGACCACCATCTACAACTTCGTCTGCTCCTGGCACGCAATCGCCAAGCGTCAGCGGGGCCCCCGCAGGGACAGCCGCACCTACCTCTGACACACGCGGATCAACGGCCGCACCTGCTACCGACACGCACACCGACACGCAATCATCAAGCGTTAGCGCGGTCCCTGCAGGAACAGCCGGATCTGCGTCTGCCTCAGCTACGTCGAGCTCGTCCTCGCACACGGGGGTCATTGTGGGCGTTGTAGTCGGTGTCCTCGGCGGCATTGCGCTGCTCATTTCCGCAATATGGTGGTTTCGGTTGCGAGCGCAAGGACGACAGCTTGCATTAGCTGCTACCCCCTACGGTGAGCCTTCGAGTTCGTGACCGGTTACAACCTACTATGAAGCTAATGTATCTGTCGGGTCCCCGTCGCGCAGCCGACCCGTCATCGCGCATGGCTGCGTACCCTCCAAGGGAGCCTCCGATGACACAACGTGGTATGCTGCCCCTCCTCCCCTCCGGCCGGCACGCACCGGCAAGCGACCCTGGTGGCTACTACAATCGTCCGGCTCTTCCGCACCCGGTAGAACGCGCGCAAAGCGAGCCCGGCGGCCGAAGCTCCTCGAAGCACAACACGTTCTTTCAAGCACATGAGGCCCCACCTCGTTCCATTCCTTACCAAGGCCTGTACGCTCCTGTGTCGTCGCCATCTTCCGTCTCCGCAGGGGATACAGACATCATCCTCGAGGCTATCCCAGAGGACCAGATACGGATGTCGTCCAGCACTGGCCTCGCTAGCAGCCCGAGCACGCCAGAGATGGCGTCCGCGCGCAGCGCACGCTCGGTATGGCTCCCACGCGCCCTTACCTTCTCGTCTGCGTCGCAGAGGTCCGTGCCGAGGGCGACGTCGCCGCCGCCCGCCGCGCCAGGGCCGCGCTATTTCCGCGTGCTCCGCCAATCGCGCGATGGTGGTGTGCGCATCGCTGGGGGCCGCCTGGGAGAACTTGGCGCGCAGCCGTGGACGCCGGCGGCGTACGATGACGCGCTCGATGTACGGAGCGAAGCCTCGACGATGCCGCCGTCGTACGCGCAGTTTGCGAGTGCTGTATCCGGAGAATGATAAAGAATGGGCGATGGAGATTCTGGAGGGGATGAGACGCTACGGATAGGTAGCGGGTCCTGGTTGGCACTGTGGACATATATGTGGGTGCCCCCTGTGCCGCGTATACTCCGCGGCTGTTGACGCATATCAAACCCTCCTTTGACAGAAGTTACATTCGAAGGCATCTGTCAGGTGTTATTGTTCTGATCCAATACGACGTTGACGAGCAGTCGCCGCAGAGCAGACAGCGGCAAGATCCTTACACACGGATGGCCCACGGAAGCAATCGTTCATCGATGTGGTCATGCGTATGCGCGGGTCTGCTCGGTTCCCGCATCAAGAGATATCTGGCGGAAAGTCCGGCGGGGGCTTGTTCCGGGGCATTGTGTCGTGTGGGCTACCCTATGAGCCGGAACTTCGCGTGAGTTGGTATAGGTGTGGTCCTTCTCCAGCTCACCTGGAACATTTACGGAATCCCGTTTTCTCAGTACGGAAGGGGCGCCGCTGACCTATTGCGGATACAGTGGACCCACAACCGCTGCCTAGCGTGTTCATCAAGGACAAGGGATGGGTATACTCCAAGGATGCATTCCCAAGTCCGTGCAAGTACCTTCGAAATGAAGAGCACGGGACCCTGCCGGTGAGCCGCTTCGCGTGCAATCAATCTTTGAGCGAGCCTGTGTGACACTCTTCGGCACACTGATGGTCTCTACAGCGAACACTGGCATGAGAAATTTGTTCGCGCGAAAGTACAGGCTATCGGGTTCCGTGTTTGGTCCCCTTATATGTCGCCTTACGGTCACCTTGTTCACCGTTTGCGGGATAGCGACTTACTCGGGGCTCAAGCGCTCCTTTGTACTACCACCATCTTACGTCCCAGGCACAACGTCTGCAAGCGCGTATTACCGCTCGTCTATTGCGTCGTTTAACTCTTCAATGGGGCAAGAACCCACTTGCAAGTCAACCCCCACTCCTCTCATTCTCTCCGACCACGCGTCTCCAGTCCTCCGCGGGCGCAGGACACCGGTAAGTCACTGTTCTCCGGCAGATCTGTGGATCACTCCGTCGTTGACGCGCCATTTATCAGCACAGCAGGGAGCGAGCGGAGGAGATGGTCGCTTTGGCGCATGCGCTCCCTAGGGCAGACAGAGCAGGGACTCTCAATGTCCCCGCACCTCAGAACCCCACAGAATGCGTACCGTACTTGATAACCTGGTCCGGGGGCACACCGCCGTACACGCTCTCTATCGTCTCGCCACGGGCTCCGCCCGACAGCGTCTTTTCCAACCTCGATGTAACCTCCTTCACCTGGGCGGCTAATATTCCTGCGTCATTTTCGGTCGCCTTCAAAGTCGTGGAGGCCACCGGGAGCTCCGTTACGACCAGCGCCGTCACGATGCACAAGGGAGACGATGAGAGTTGTTTGGATAGCTCAGCCGGGTCCGCGTCGCAGCCAAGCGACCCCTCCACATCCTCGTCGGCACCTCCACCATCCCCTTCCCCGTCTCCTTCACCGACGTCTCCTTCCACGACTACGACAAGTACCACGTCCACGGATTCACCCTCTCCGACGTCACAATCCCCAGATCCGCCCTCTCCCACTTCCGAGCCGGATCAGTCATCGTCGGCGACAAGCGCCAACACGACGGGAGCCGGGAGCGTAGAGACTTCTCTTGCCTCTGGCTCGCTGTCTGCTACATCCACCAATCCCAATCCACCTTCTGGTACGACCACGGACTCCGGTGGTCCGTCTGGCTCTGGTCCTACTAGTGGCAGCTCCGCAACGTCCGGCGTGGGGAATATACCCTCTCTATCCTATAGCTCATCTGGCTCGTCCACTATCGAACCGACTGCCAATACATCGGCAACTGTCACTCATTCACCTGGTTTTGAACCTCCAAATCACTCGCTTAGCATTGGAGCTATCGTCGGCATCATCATCGCGGTGATTGTACTTATATTAGTGCTTGCCATGATTCTATTCCGGCGTCATCGGCGACGCATGGCGCGAGCAGGTGCGTGCGGAGATTGACCTTACTGCAACATCGCTCATAATCGTATATAGCTCTACGTCCCGACGCGTACACGCCACTTCAATCGATCGCCACGAGCACGTCGCATGACCGACATTCATTAACATCCAAACTGCACCAAGATAGCGACCATGGTGACCTGAAGGGCTCGCGATTTAGCGTGGCCACGGTAGCAAGCAGTATCCCGGCACTCACCACCATCTCCTCGGTCGGCGCGGAACCGGCCACACTTGTTATCGACCCTGCCCAGCCAACGATCGTGGAGGAGCTTTCTCACTCCGCGGCTGCACCTTCCACATCACCTCCGAAGACGTCTTTGGATGAACCGCTCAGTGTCATACGGGAAGTCCCCGGTGCGCCTCCCGAACTGCTACCTTCCAGCCCACCTAGCGGCACTCTCGACTCGGACTCTAAACCACCAGAACCGTCCCCTTCACCACCACCGGCTAGAGTCGTACAGCGTGAACGTCCTAGACGCCTGAGAGAAAGGCCACCGGTGTTCGAGGAGGATGGTGGCATCCGTCTTGCGGGAGGGCCGCTAGACGAACCACCCCAAGAATTCCTCCCACCTCCGTATAGGAGATATTAATGGTACGCCTCTCTCTCTTCCTCGGGGTATATCACTAACCCGTTGTTGTCTTTGAAGATACTGTAGAAATTATACCGTATTGAAGGCCGTCGCGACCTCGAGATCACAGATGGGGGATCAAAGCGGGATTGTCAAGGGATCAAGGTGCTCTCTGGATGTAGTCACTCGTCTGCATGCGGATCCGGAGCAACACAGCGTCGGAGTTGGTACGTCGCCCCCATGATCTCTGTCCGTATTGTTGCGTGCCGCCGTCAGGCAATATCGGGTCGCCGACCTTTTGGCGCATAGGTGCGTTGTATACAGACGTATGAGTGTGTACAGGGGTCTGATCATCATGGGCATGGGCGTTGCGCGTGAGGCCGCGTCGATGCGTCTCTCCTCTGCCTCCTACTTCGCTCTCCTGGCTTGTGGTTTTCGTGTATCCGACTATCTCACGGTGATAGATTGTAGGGTAGCGCAAAGATGGTCTTCCTATGACCGAGGCAGCCTCGCTCTCCGGCTACCAGGAACGTGCTGTGTATGAGATCCCCCTGAATCACACCATGAAACTAGCAGTTCACCAACCCCGACGCGGCCGTCCGCGCGCGTTGAAATTTCAAGACACCCGAGTCACCCACGTTAATTCTATATTGTATGTAAAACTCTTCCTATATTTTGATGAGTCAAAGGCTCCGCGACGCTGTCGCACGGTCAGTCCAGCACATCACACTCAGCCGCAAGAATCTCCTGGAGGGGTCTGCAGGGTGCGGTGGGGTGCTCCGCACGCTATGGAAAGCAGGGCATAGTACTAGTGACATTCCCATACGTAAAACGTGGTTGGATTTTGAGGAGCAAGCGCCTGCGCGCCGGCACCTGCCGAAGTGTTCAGTAGTGCGCCGCGGCAAGCGCTCAATGTTTTGTCCTCCGCCGTACTATGACGCTACAGTACGGGACCATCGGGTCTCATTCGCTTTCACATCTGACGACCCATTGCTCCCAAAACATAACTAGTATGGCTGGACAAATCAACCGTCGAAAACAGGACGAACTAGAGCACCTTGTGTAGCACGGCCCGGGCTCAACAACCAGTCTTTGTGCCACGCACTGTGAAAGCACGCGACTGTAGGGCCGGTTTCTGCTGTGGACATACATGTAGGTGCATCTAGTATCGTGTACTGTCCGTGTCTGCTGATGCGTGATATCAAACTCTCTTTCAACAGAAGTTACACTGGGAGACATCATTGTTCTGATCCGATCCGACTTTGACAAGTATGATACAAGATCGCGCCGGAGCAGACAGCGGCAATATCCCTACGCGCGGATTGCCCCCACAGATAACAAACCATCGGCGTGCTCAACTCATACGTGGGTCTGCGTGGATTCTGCATCAGAGATATCTGGTGGACAGCTCGGCCTGGTCTGTTCCGCGACCTTGCGTGTGGAGTTATCGTACGTGTCGGAACTACACCTACACCGGCTGGTACAGGTATGGTCCCTCTCTTTATCGGTCCAAACTTATGATGCCCGCTTCCTCAGTATGGATCAGACGTTGGGCCGCCCGGACCTAGTGGACCCACAACCGTTGCGTGGTGTGTCTACTGTTATCGAGGTGTGGGCCTCTAACGAGGCCTGCACGAGTTACGCAAATATGTTCGACACGCAGAAGTACGGGACTCGGGAAGCTACCCATATAATCAATCTGAAAACTCGCCTGTGTGATATTCTTCGGCGCGCTGATGGTTTCTACAGCGGGCACTGACATGAGAAAGCTGATCGCGGGAATGTACAGGCTCCCTGGTTCTCGGTTTGGCCCCTCTCATATCTCGCCTTGCCGCCGCCTTGTTCACCGTCTCAAGGATAGCGACTTTCTCAACCGGACCTCAAGCGCTCCTTTGTACTACGACCTCTCGACATCCCGAGCACGACCTGTGTCCGCAAGTTCACGTTACGGCTTTTGGTCTCTTGTAGAGTTCTATGACCACTATTGTGCGAGACTTGCCAGTCAACGTTCAGTCCCCAACATCCCTCCGCCAACGCGTGCAGAATCCTCAGCTTGAGTAGCCCCAAGGCATCGGTGAGTCTATTTTACGGCTCATCTATGGATGGTTCCTGTGTTAACCCGCATACGCTCAGCATATTGGACGAACGAAGAGCATGGAATCGTTAGCCCTGGCGTTGCCTAGGGCAGGCATCGAAGAGCCGTTCGAAGTTGAGCCACCCCGGATACCCACAGAATGCGAGCCGACCCCGATACTCTGGCGAGGGGGAACACCGCCGTACACAGTCACCATTATCTCGTCTCGACCTCCGCCCGTCACCGTCTTTCCTGACGTTGACGGCATCGATTTTATCTGGACTGCCGACGTCCCCGCAACATTCTCGGTCTCCTTCAAGGTCGAGGACAGCACTGGCGTCTTTGTCCAGACCAGTGATGTTACGGTACGGAGAGGACTGGACGAAAGCTGTCTAAGCAGCGCGACTGCGTCTGAATCCCAGCCGAGCGACTCTTCCACTTTGGCATCGACATCCTCACCCCCTCCAACCGCACCTCCATCCCCACCTATCTCATCTGCGTCTCCTGAAACCTCAACGACCAGCGTTGCCTCCACGAAGCCAACCTCCTCGACGTCAGAAACCTCAGATGCACCCTCTCCAGTCCCGAGTCAATCACCATCCTCGACGCACGCCAATACAACTGGAGCATCTAGTGCGGGCACCACCGATGGGTCTGACTCGATGTCGGTCACGACTGCTGCTCCCTCCCCTCCTGGTCCAATCACAAACTCAGGTGTTGCGTTTAGTTCTGGGCATACTGGCGATAGTCTCGCGACATCAGGCACAGCGAGTATTTCCACTTCATCTCCCAGTATTTCCGGATCCTTTATCATCACTCCGGCTCCCACTGGATCTGCAAGTATCGCTTCATCCCCTGGCTCCGCAAACCACTCAATTTCTATCGGAGTCATTATCGCGACGATTGCGTTCATCTTGGCCCTTGTGGTGATCCTTGTTCGGCGACGCCGGAGACGCTTGGAGCGAGCAGGTTCGTGCGAGTATCCCTTTCATAACGCAACGTCGCTTATCACTGTGTATAGCGCTGCGTCCCGATGCGTATACGCCGCTCAGATCGAGGACTGCCACAATCACGTCGCACGACCGGGATTCATTGGCCGCCGCACCACCTTCAGGTAGTGATGTGAAGGGGCCCCGGTTTAGCGTGGCCACGGTAGCGAGCAGCATCCCAGCGCTCACCACCATCTCTTCGGTCGGCGCGGAACCGGCTACACTTATTATCGACGGTACCCAGACAACGACAGTGGCCGAGCTCCCCCAGTCTTCGCCCCCACCATCCGCCTCACCCCCGAAACCCTCTCAGGACGGGACACGAAACACCACACAAGAAGTGCTTGGTGCCCTCTGTGCACCGTCGCCTTCCGGCCCCTCTCGCGACACTGTCGACGACTTTAAGCCACCGGAAGCTACCCCTCCCCCACCACCCATTGGAGCCATTCGACATGGACGTCCCAGACGTCTGAGAGAAAGGGCGGCATTGTTTGAGGGGGACAGAGACGTCTTTCTTGCCGAAGAATCACTAAATGAACCGCCCCAAGAGTTCCTTCCACCTCCGTACAAGAGATACTGATGGTATGTCTTCCCTCTACCCTAAGGGTATTTTTCTGATCCTTCATTTGCCTTGCCTTGAAGACACCCCAGACATTTTTATTCTATTCTATTTCGTCACGACGTCGAGGCCAATCTTGGGGGGCTTATAAGCGCGCTCCAGGGTGGGCGTCCTTTCAGGATTACCGCATCCGCCTGCATGCGGATCGGCAGTAACACGGAGTTGGTACGTCGCCTCTGTGGCTGCTTTCGTCAGGCAATGATCACCGACCTTCCGGTGAATAATCTGGCACTCCGGTGGATAAGCGCTGCATGCAGGCGGCGCCGGCGATCTTTGTGGATCCTAAGTACTTGCATCGGCGCTCCTCAGTCAAGACTGCCGCCGCCGTCGGGTGCAGACCGCAGCTGCGACGGTAGACTCGGCGTGTCTATCACTGCCGATGACTTCACCATGGACGACTTGCTATGTCGCGGTGCTGCGATCTGCCCCCGGGTTCTCCGACACCGGCGGGTGCATTTGGGGCCATCAATCCGCGATGCTGTCTCACTAGCGCTGATGCACAGATCCATGCTGCACTTTCCTCGTTGCACACTCCGTTTCATCGACGCCCGCGTGGCTGTGCGTACCGCCCTCACCATCTTTTGTAGGCTGGTGTGCCGTCGGAAGGGATGCGAAGCACATCGCACTCTCTCCACGCCGACTATGGGCATCCGCTCATATGGGACAAGGGCAGTCTAGCATTTGGGACATCTGGCGTTGTGTTAGGCAGCTCGGCTCGTGTACAACATCGTAGCGTCTGGTTCTGACGGAGCGCGTACATCCCCAGGCCTCAAAGCGTGCGTACACGTTCTTTGCAAAGTGACGATAGCTCTAACCCGTAAACACGCCTACAGATACACTTTGACTTGCTCTTCCAGCCACGTCCAGAGCTTTTCCTGCTCTTTCGCGTCCAAGGCAAATTGGCTTGGCCGAGATACACGCTGTCGTATGCTATCCGGGAATCGGATGATTGATAGGTGAAAAGGGGTGAGGGGTTGGGCGATGTTGATTCCCTGATGCTGCCGCAAAGCGTGTGGGGTTTCCTGCTTTTCCAACAGTGGCTTCGCCGAGTTCGTGACTAAGCCGGGCGGGCTATGATCCTTGAATAACTGCTTGTGTGGTGGTGTGCGGGTGATTGTGGTGTACTGAGACCTATGCGGAAGTCTCTGATGGTGGTTGCCCTGAGTATCTGGGCAGAGTCTCCCCTATACTGGTTGGGAGTGTTGCGTGCTGGCTGCGTAAGGCTGCGAGTGCCTGTCTTATAGACCCCGTATTAAACACACCCTGTGGTATGTCAAGTGACGTGTCTTCCTGGCTGTAGACCCCGTATTAAACACACCCTGAGTGG